GTCCTGGCAGATGAACTGGTATAGCTCTGGCTGACCCTAAGGACGTTTCCTGCCAAAACGTTGGAGAAGAAACGCACGATGGAGTAGATGTTGAAGGCGGTTGAACGAAGTCGACGGCGGCGGATGGTGGAAACCATTGCGATCGAAACGCCGCGATACATGGCGGCCGTAGTGGGAGCAGGGGCGAACATGCTCCGCTACCAAGTGAAAAGGCAAGATGCACAAGGTGTAAGTGTACCGTTCAATACCCTTTTCGTGCAGGCGGGGTGGTATCTAGTCACCTGGAAGATACCAGAAGGTGCATCTGAAAGCGGGCACGGGTCACTGATCAGGCCTCGTGCCAAAACAACGCAGCGGGCCAGCAAAGGTGAAAAACAGGCATTGCAACAGGAGGAACTATTCTGTGAATGAGAGAAGGACGGGGAGGACGAAGAGGACGAGGGGGCGCAGGAAAAGCAGGAGGAGGAGGAGGAGCAGGAAAAGCAGAAGACCAGGAGCAGGAGGAGGAGGAGGAGGAAGAGTAGGAGAGGGGGGAAACAGGAAAGGGGGGATGAGGATGGCGGGGGAGGAGGACGGCCCGCGTGAGCCAGGGAACCGCGGCCGCACAGCCTCGCGAGCCCTGGGGGCGGGCGGCGGGGGCGCAGGGGGGGCAAGGGCGTGCCGTCCTTTTCGAACACGCAGCACAACAGCGCGCGGAGCCCGAGTCCGGCGGATCCTGGCTCCCCTCCCCGCCCACAACGGACCGGGACATACTCCTCTTCCTCCTCTTCCTCCTCCTCCCCCTCCTCCTCCTCCTTCTTGTCCTCCTCCTTCTTGTCCTCATCCTGTTCCTCCTCCTCGTCGTCCTCTTCAGGGATCTCTGAGATGCGGCGGCTCTTGGGGATGCGTGGGGCGCCGTGCCCTGTCCGGAGCGGCCTGGAGCGAACTGGGGGCGTTCTGAAAGCGTTCCAAGACGCTTTGGAACTGTTCATCATGGTCATGGCCGCGTCCGGTTCCGTTATCCACAGATGGGGCGGACCTCCGCGTGCTGCCAGCCTGCACCCTGCCCCGTCATGGTCGGCCTTGGTCATGCAAATCCAATGTCGTTCCATCGTGGTCATCACAGCTCTGCCTCCCTACCCTCCCGTGACCCCGCACATTATCTTGTTTCTTTATCTCTCTCGCTCATTTTTCTCTCTCTCTCTCTCTCTCTACATCTATCTACATATATACAAGGGCCTGGCTCGGGCCGGCGCCGAAGACGCTATTTCAAAACTCGATTCGCCCATGGAGCTGTGGTGAAGCACGTGACGCCTCTACTCGGCCTGAAAAATCTATTCGGCCTGAAACCTCTATTCGGCCTGAAGCCTCTATCCCCTTGGCGCCCACTAGAGCTCGTGAAGCCTATATTCGGCCTGAAGCCTCAATTCCTCTGAGGCCCATTGAACGCCGTGAAACCTCTATTCGGCCTGAAGCTCTATTCCCCTGACGCCCACTGAAGCTCGTGAAGCCTCTTTTCGGCCTGAAGCCTCTATTCCCCTGACGCCCATTGAAGCTCGAGAAACTTATATTCGGCCTGAAGCCTGACGCCTGGTTAAGCTCGTGAAGCCTCTATTCGGCCTGAAGCCTCTATTCCCCTCACGCCCACTGAAGCTCGTGAAACCTCTATTCGGTCTGAAGACCCAATCCCCCTCGCGCCCGGTGAAGCTCGTGAAACCTCCATCCGGCCCGAAGCCTCTATTCCCCTGGCGCCTGGGTAAGCTCGTGAAACTTCTATTCGGCCTGAAGCCTCTATTCCCGTGGCGCCTGGTGAACATCGTGAAGCCTCTATTCGGCCTGAAGTCTCTATTCTCCTGACGCCTGGTGAAGTTCGTGAAGTCGTCAAGCCTCTGTTCGGCCTGAAACCTCTATTCCTCTGATGCCCATTGAAGCCCGTGAAACCTCCATTCGGCCTGAAGCCTTTATGCCACTGACGCCCGGTGAAGCTCGGAAGCTGTTTTGAAGCCTCCTGGGGGGCCGTTTTGGGGCCTCCTAGAGTTATGTTTTCAATCAGCTTGGGAAGGGGTCTTGTCTAGCAAAAGGTGCCGCACAGCAGGTGGGACACGCCTTGCACCAAGGATTTGTTTTAGCAACTTGGGGAAGGCCATTGCCCAGCAGAGGCTGCCGCATAGAAAATGGGGCACGTCTAGCACCAAAGACTGTTTCAAACAACTTGGGGAGGGCCATTGCCTTGCCTAGCTGAGGGCGCACAGCGGATGGGGCAATTCTAGCACCAATGATTCATCCTGAATCAATGTACGGAGGGGTCTTGCCTAGCAAATGGTGCCGCAAGGTGCCGCACAGCAGATGGGGCACATCTAGCACCGTCCCACCATCTTCATCGTCATCATCACCAGCATCATCATCGTCACCGTGATCGCCGTAGTCCTCATCATCGTCATCACCACCATCATCGTCACTATCGTCCTCATCACCATCATCATCGCCATCATCAAAACCATCATTGTCATCAGCTTCGGCACAAACCTCACACGTTGCGTGGCCCCATAACGAGCTCCACCGAAGGCCTCAATGCCGCCGGCCAAATGCGTCACGCAAACCCAAGTCGTCACTCATCACACGCTCCGCGGCCCCATAGGAGTTCCACCGAAGGCCCCAATGCCGCAGGTCGCATGCTTCACGCACACCCACTTCGGCACACCCCTGACACGCTTCGTGGCCCCATAGGGAGCTCCATCGAAGGCCCCAGTGCCGCCGCCCGCATGCGTCCCGCACACCCAATTCGGCACACGTGTCCCACGCTTCCCGGCCCCACAGGGAACTCCACCGAAGGCCCCCGTGCTGCCGCCCGCGTGCGTCCCGCACACTCAGCTCGGCCACCGGAGGCCCCAGTGCAGCCGCCCGCATGCGTCCCGCACACCCAATTCGGCACACCCTCCACACGCTTCGTGGCCACATAGGGAGCTCCACCGAAGGCTCCAGTGCCGCCGCCCGCATGCGTTCCGCACACCCAATTCGGCACACCCCTCAGACGCTTCGTGGCCCCATAGGGAGCTGGTGGTCCCGACAGGTTCCCTAGGGCCGATTTTTTCGTCGTCGAAGTCCGTCGTCGTCGTCCGTCGTCGTCGCCGTCGTCGCCGTCGCCCTCGTCGTCGTCGCCGTCGTCGCCGTCGCCCTCGTCGTCGTTGACGTCGTCGTCGTCATCGTCATCGTCATCGCCATCGTCATCGTCATCGTCGTCGTCGTGTTCGTCGTCGTCTTCTTCGCCGTTATCATCATGATCATCATCATCATCATCATCATCATCATCATCATCAGCATGATCCTCCTCATCGGCACCGTCGTCATCGTCACCGCGACCTTTTAGTGGGGACCTGCGCGCGTCGCGGGGGCTCCGCGTAGCGCGGCACCCGCAACCTTGAACTTTGGAGTGCGCGGCCAAAGAGGAATGAAAAAAGGGGGGAAACGGGCGCGACCCTCGTGTGGGGCGTGCCGACATGGGCGTCGCGGCGCGCGGGCGCTGCCGTCGGGGTTCCCCGGAAAACTCCTTGCGGAGGCTACGCTCAATGTCACGAATTCTCAGAGCCAGGCAAGACAAACCCATTCACACCCGTATGCGTTTACACTAGGCGACTCCATGCTCGCAGTCATGCGGATAGAACCGATCGCACGCATACTCTCATTCAAGATCAGACTCACTCGAGCTTAGACTCGCCCGCGCTCAAGTTTTCATGATCAGACCTGTCGTTTTCGTTCGTGTTGTGCACCCTATCACACAATTCGGCACACCCCTCATACGGTTCATGACCCCATAGGGAGCGCCACCGAACAATATATTCAATGGCGGTATTCACAACTGCGTATGGTTGAGACTTTCGTTGGGTTAATTTTTCAAGTTTGCAAAAAGGTCTTGTCTAGCAGAGGGTGCCGCACAGCAGATGGGGCACGTCTAACATAAAATATTGTTTTCTCAACTTGGGGAAGGGCTCCTGCCTAGCAGAGGGTGCCGCACAGCAGATGGGGCACGTCTAGCACCAAGGATGTTTTTAAATCAACTTGGGGAGGGGTCCTCCGGGAGTGGTCTTGCCCAACAGAGGGTGTTGCACAGGAGATGGGGCGTGTCGAGCACCAAGTAGTTTTGATTTAAGCAACTTGGGGAGGGGTCTTGCCTAGCAGAGGGCGTCGCACAACACATGGGGCACGTGTTGTGTTGGACGCGGGAAGCGTAAAAGTAAACTTGCACTGTCAAATTACAGTTGGGAAGGGGAGCGCGTTGAGTACTGGGCCGGGTGAAGAAAAGAAGCATCGTCACAGGGAATAGCGTCTTCACCCGCAAAAGCGTCTTCACCGGGAGTAGCGTCTTCACCGGGAATCGTCTTCACTGGAAATCGCGTCTTCACAATGAATAGCGTCTTCACCGGGAATAGCGTCTTCACCGGGGATAGCGTCTTCACCAAGAATAGCGTCTTCACCTGGAATAGCGTCTTCACCCGGAATAGCGTCTTCACAAGGAATAGCGTCTTCACACGGGAATAATGAAGAGCGTCTTCAATTAGCGCCTTCGGCGCCAGTTCGAACGGGGAACCCTGGTTGTCGGGGCAATGTGCACATACCTATAAATATATACATATATATGTATGTATATATGTATATACACATCTATATATAATATTATCTCTCTCGCTCTCTCCCTTTTTGCAACTCGTCTTTGCCCTGAGATCACGCGTTCCACAGACGCATCCAGGGGAAAGGCGGGCACTCGCCCGCAGGATGGCTGCCCACTCAGGGCCGGCCTACGAAATAAACATGCCCAGCGCAGTGGCTGGGCCTGAGCCCTCATGTGGAGCTGCAAATTCGGCACCTGGAAGCCTCCTCCCTCCTGCCCCCAGCTCGCATCTCCTCCATGCTGACATGCAGGATGGGCTCGGACGCGGGGCGAACCTGACGGTGCTACGCGGCCAACGCCCATCGGGATCCTGACGACTGAACGGCGGCCCTTCGAGTGAGGAGCGATAGGCCTGCTAGGAGCTGCCCCGCCAGGTCGCAGGGCCAATAGGCGCCTTTGGAGAAACACGCAAGCACATAAACATACACGTTCGGAAGTCCGCGCGGGGACCCCCCTCGGAGACCGCCAAAGCCCGCGCCAGAGGCGCAACCAGGGGGCTTCAGCGCCGATCCGAAAATCCGCGCGGACCTCCGAAAGATTATGTTTGTGACAATGTTTGTTCCCCGAGCTTTGAGGTCGTGGTAGTCCTTGAGATCGTGCAGCTCGATGTCGGGCCGGAAGCGCTCGCGCATCGCCTCAAAGCACGCCTGCAGGCCGGGCATGCCGTCGGCGATCGATGGCTGCGACGCGCCGTGCGCGCCGGGGCACAGGCAGTCCCCGAGCCAGCGCTCCAGCATGCCGTAGAGCGTGAGGTCGGCTGCTGTCGGCGTGGCCGCCCCGCAGAAGAAGGGCGTGCTCGACCGCTGCAGCTCTGCGTCGAGGCGCAGCAGCACCTCGCGAGCCTCCCCGATGACCCTGGCGGTGTCGCGAGGGGCCTTCATCTTTGCGAGGCGCCCGCAGACCTCACCCACCGCGCCCCCTGCCTCGGCTCCGCGCTCCTCCATCCTCTTCACGAAATCCTTCGAGACTGCGCTGCTCACGATGCGCGCCATCACCCGCTTCGGGAGCAGCCGTGCCGCGAGCTTCGCGGCAGCCCCGGCCCCGCCGCTGCGTATGTGGCTGCGCGCGAGGGCGCCGGCGAAGCGCTCGAACCCCTCAGGGTCGACCACCGAAAGCCAGCCGTTGAACCAGAAGATGACAGCACACTCGCACTCAAGCCTGGAGAACGTTTTTTTTGTTTGTTTCGCGAGGGTCAGGCCCTGGCCGCCCCTTCTCCCAGGTTACGTCCCAATCCGTGCAGGCGTCTGAGTTGTCCTTTGGTTATCCCTGGACATTCCAAGACGGCGCTGGCGCGAAACGTGACGTTACTGGCCCCCTCTCCCTCCCCCACCCGTAAGGCTCGTTATCACCCGGGAATGAAAGCAAAAACGCTCTCCTGCGCACTTCGTCGGCGCACCCCTGCGGGTAGAGCATGGCCTCACCGGGAAAGCGACTGTCGAGAAAGGCACAGATGTCCGTCCCGGTGACCACCTCGCCATCCCATCGTAGCACGGGCACTGTGTGCGGTGCGGGCAGCATGGCAATCCGAGTCTCGAGGTCGCCCGGAGCCTCAGATAACTCGTAGCCCACGATCGGCCTGCCTAAGCCCTTGAGGTGGAGCGCCGCCAGCGCCCTAATGCTGTACGGCGACCCCTTCCACATGATGAGCTCGCGGCCGCGACCAGCCATCACGGCTGGCGGCCCATGGCAAGCCGCCGTGAGGTGGCCGCTCCTCGCGCCAACTTTCGGGCCAGCCGACTGGCTGGACAGTGCCCGGAGAATGCCGGGCTGAGGCTCGGCGGCACGCCCGGAGGGGGGTCAAGGCAGAGAGGGCGCGGGCCTTCCCGGAAGGCTCCGCGAGGCCCTCCGGCCCTCCGAGAAGCTCGCCAGGCCTCCTCCGAGGCCGCACCGCCTTCTGAGGACACCCGCCCCCTCCCGCGATCCCCCTCGGCGCGCCGCCGAGGATGGCCGGACGATTCGCCGGAAAGTCCTCCGGGGAGGCGGGGCCCCGGCTGGCTCATGGCCGGGCGAGAGGCCGGAGGCGACGTGGCCCGCTGCGCGTGCAGCAGGGCAGGCGCGCCCGCGCCGGGGCTGCCGGAGGCGGGGGGCGAGCCTGCAGCGCCTGGCCTCCGTGCCGGCGGTGCGCGAGCGGGCGCTGCACCAATGCTCTCGAGCCGGCGGCGATTGCGGACCGCCCATGCAACCTCGCCAGGAGGCCACAGGAGAGCCCTGCCCCGCCACCCCAGGATCTCGGAGGGGGGAGGGGGGAAGGGGTCACCTCGCTCGGTGCGATGCTCGACGGACGTCTCGCCCGCGCGCAGCGGATCCCCGCAGGCACTGCGGCCCTCGGCGGCGCTCTGGCTCACAGCTTCGCGGGGCGCCCACTGACGCCCACTGCAGGAGGCTGATCCTGCGCACTGGGAGGCTGGTGCTCCCAGTCTGTGTGCCCCTTGCTCCCCCCCCCTTGAGGGCTTCCGTTCGGTGTCAAATGGGGGTATGGAGTGGGACACTCCCGAAATCTGGCAATCGGCAAATGCAAAGTATCCTCCCCCATGCAATATCTGGAGGAACTCCGCGAGGTAGCTTGTGACCTAAAGTCTTGAGAAAGAAACTCTTGACACCGCCGGGGAGCGCATTCCTCTACCAAATCCCCCTGCAATCGCCGTAATGCACTGTGTTTGTGGAAGGTCGCATTCACATATCTATGACCAAAATGCGGCGACTCAACACTTGGCTGCACCGATCTTAGGCAAAGCATGGGCCTGCCCAGGATCGGTGTCGGTACACAGCTTCCGTCGTCTGAGAAAGAGTCTGCCTGGTTCTAAGACCAGGTGTGGTCAACGACTCGGCAATGACTGGTCCACGCGTGGCCAAAGAATATCAGGGGCCCCTCAGGGGCCAATCATCTGGGCGACCCGCTCAATATCTTGGGCTTTGTTCTGACCTGAATCTCGCAGGGGGCACAACCGTGGCGGCGAGGTGCGACTGGAAGCCCAAACAACAAGCAGCAAAGATGCTGCAAAACCTCCACCTTCGAGCCTCGAACCTCGACCGTCGAACCTGCCCACCCCCGGCCCTTCCCCGCCCCTCTACTCCCTGAACCTCTCCCGCGGGTGCGTGCTGACCAGGATCCCAAGGAGAATGCGACCACGGCGACGCGAGGCCCCCAGTAGGCCCCCAAAGCGGCGAGCACGATGGATCCTCTCTCGCACAAGGAGAAGCAGGCCTTCTCTCGTACAAGGAGAAGAAGACGCAACTATAATGTGTCAAAGGTCCGCGTGGACTTCTTGGATCGGCGCTGGATCCCACTGGCGAAGCATTCTGCGTCGCCCCTGGCGCGCTCCGCCCGCCAGGACGAAGGATCCAGCAGCAGTCCAAGAAATCCGCAGAGACCTCCGACCGCTCGCGCCCACAGTCGTGGTGCTGGACGCTGACTGAGAAACGAAGAGGCGGCTCTGGCCACGGCGAGGCTCCGCTACGAATAGGATCCCCGACCCAGGCGGAATGAACGGCCGAAAACCAGAGCCCCTCCTGAACCCAAAGCAGTCCAGATTGCAACACTTTTCGTATTAACGATCCTGAGGGTGAACGGCACGGGCGACTGGCTCAGGGAGGAACATCGACGTGGAATCGGCGATACAAGGGCAATAGATAGGCGATAGGCTTCCGATTGCGAATCCGTGCGCTCCTGGGCGGGGTGGGTTATCGGGCCCCTGTTGGCAATGAATGCGCGATCGGGGGCCGATGCACCACCCTCTGAGCGTATCCCCCCTAGCGTTGCCCCTGGCTTCAGGGCCATAACCTCTCCTCTCTGACGGCCATTCGAGACGACTCCAGGCACCCAAGGACCGCTCTCGCCGAGGCGCAGCTGCTGGAACCCATCCCGAGGCTGGAAAATCGCCGGGAACCGACGAAGAGAACCGACGGCCTCGAGCCTTCGCTTCATAGAATGCCGTCCTAACCCCCCTACCGTTGCCCCAGAGGTCCCCTCCCCCGCGATAAGGTCAGAAACTTTTGGATAGCGTGTCGCGGCGGCGGCCCCGGCGACACGCTACGGATCGCGTCTCTCTCCACTCCGCCGGGCGGGAGCACAGAGAGCATGTCGCGCCGAATCGCGGTGGGCCAGAACCGGCCGCGCGACACGAGAAGCCTCCCGGATCGGGTCGGAGTAGATGGGGTCGGAGAATCGCGCCGCACCGCCGATGCATCAGCGATGCATCGGCGATGCATCGGTGACGTCGGCGTGGAGGGAAGTCGGGCTCCACATCGAGCCGCATCGTCGATGCATCGGCGATGCGGCGCGATCCTCCGACCCCATCAGCTCCGACCCCACCCGGGAGGTCCAGAGACACGCTAAGCCCGAATTCCTGACCGTAGTCCTCCACCCCCTGTCGCCCCTCCTTGCGCAGCCCCCGCGAGCATCCGCGCCCCGCCCGCAGCGCCGCGCGAAGGGGGGGAGGGCTCGGGCTCGGGCGTCAGTCTATGAGGGGCGAGCCATGTGGGGGGAGAAACGTGCACGTTTCGTGCCCCATTGGGCCCCAGGTGGGCCCTTTAGTAGACGAGCGCGTTCCACTACTCGCAATTTGACTACTCGCAAATGGTCTGGATCCGGCGCGGGGCATCTACGGTACGTGTCGTCGATGCAAAAATAAGTGCTTTGGACGTTTGCGAGTAGGCACTTTGCGAGCAGCGGAACGTGCTCATTGATTCAGGGTACAAAAGGTGCACCTTTATTCACCCCCCCATTCATCGCACCCCCAAGTACTCGACTTGAGCAGGGAGCGGCGGTCCCTGCATTCCTATAAGCCTACCATGACATGCTCTCATAACCCAATGATGTTCTGATGACAGAAAAATGTTCTTAGAACCTAGACCCGATGTGTTAAAGCAAGACAGTCCCAGCCAGAAATGTCCTAAGAATATTTCCTTGAAGCCACAAGCGGTTCTTAGAACATTCCTTGGTAGGCCTATGGGCGAGCCAGGACGCTTCGCCACTGCTTGAAAGTACTCGACGCCCGAGGGCCCGAGGCCGGTATATCGCCGCGCCTGCCGGGGGGCGCCCGTCCCAAGCGCGAGCGCGCGCGAGCGCGCGCGATGGCTGCGAGGGCGCCCGCGTGCTCGGCGGACCAGAGGCGAAGCTCCCTGCAGGGCGCCAGGCCCTCTTCCTCCTCCTCCTCCTCCTCCTCCTCCTCCGCCTCCTCCTCGTCCTCCAGCTCTCTCGTCCTCCTCCACTCTCCTTCTTCGCCGCTTCCTCCTCATCCTCTCACTCTCTCATCCTCCTCCTCTCCCTGCGACTCCTCCTCCTCCTGCTCCTCCTCCTCCTCCTCCTCCTCCTCCTCCTCCTCCTCCTCCTCTGCAGCATCATCATCACCCTCCTCCTCCCTTTTCCTCCTCCTCTTCCTCCTCCTCCTCTCCTCCTCCTCCTCCTCCTCCTCCTCTCTCCTCCTCCTCCTCCTCTCCTCCTCCTCCTCCTCCTCCTCCTCCTCCTCCTCCTCCTCCCTCTCCTCCTCCTCCTCCTCCTCCTCCTCCTCCTCCTCCTCCTCCCTTCTCCTCCTCCCTTTTCCTCCTCCTCCTCCTTCTCCTCCTCTGCCGCCTCCTCTCCCTCGTCCCCCTTCTCCTCTACTTCCTCCTCCTCCTCCTCTTCTTCTTTCTCCTCTCCACAACAATACAAGTAAACCAAGAACAACAAAACCCAATCAGTGTATGGTTTAAAATGGGATCGATAAAGGGATCGACCCAGAACCCGGGAACCCACCGAAATCGGCCTGTAGCCAATAACCTGGAGCCGGGACCCCGGGAACCCAGGCGGCTACCAAAATCGGCGGGAAACTTTCGCCAAATCTTCCTACATCCGCTAGGATCCCTTCAGTGCAAGCTCTGATTGGAGAATATAGACAATACCCTTCCTCCTTCGCGGAAATTGTCCAGAAGATCTCCCGCCCCCTCCGCGTGCTTGTGTTCCCCCCGCCCACACACAGGATGTTAAACATTGATTTGCTGATGGCTTGCTTCAATCCAATCGGTTCGGTGTTTCAAATGGTGTTCCCGCCGCAGCGTGGGCCTCATGTTCGGACCGGTGCCCTGCTCCCGTCGTTCAGAATGGCGCTCTCGCCCTGGCGTGGGCCACTTTCCTGGATCCGAGTCTTGCTTCATTGTGATCTCCCCATAACTTCCCTTCCTCCACCTTCCTCTGGTCCTCCTGTTCATCCCGCTTCTTCAGCTGCAGTTCCTGCTGCTGCTGTTTGTCTCGCCCCAGCGCGGGCCACTATTCTGAATCCGAATATTTGATAATACTTGTCGCCCGTCTGAATTCCTCTCCTCCGCCTTCCCTAGTCCTCCTTTCCCTCCCGATCCGTCCTCCTGGTTCCTGCTGCTGCTGTTCGTCCTCATTCTTTTCCTAAAGCTCCTCCTCCTGCTCACTCGCCACCTTCTCCTCCTGTGCACTAAGAAGCCCTGCTTCCGATTGCGCATAGCAAGAAGTGGTCTTTCTTTGTGAGTCGCAGGTCGGCTATGACATACGTCCGCGGATACAAAACATCAGCGCCATGAGAAGAAATGAGTGAGAAGGATAGGAAGTCAGATGAGGCGCGAACGCATCTAGCTTGCCACTCTCTTCTCTCCATCTCCTCGCCACTTCTGAGGCGCTATCCCCCCCTTTCCCCCTCCTCCTCATCCGCCTCCTGGGTCGCGGGCGAGGACAACAACAAATCATACACACCACATACCAACGAACAAACAATAATCACCAACAATGATCCTCGTCCGTTTGGCCCCCTCACCCTGATACACATATACATATACACACACGTGTATACACGTATATCGCCCTCTCTCTCTCTCCATATATGGTCCAGGGTTTGGCCCCCCCCCCCCCCAATGCTGATGCCATTGGCCCCCCCCCCCCGCGCGATGGTCCCCCCCGCCCCCCCCTGTGGGCGTGGCGTGGTGCTGCGCTGCGGTTCCCCCCCCCCCCTGTGGATGTGGTGTGGTGCTGTGGTGGTTCAGAGGTGGGCGTGGCGTGGTGTTGCACTGCGGTGCCCCCCTCCCCCCCCCTGTGGATGTGGTGTGGTGCTGTGGTGGTTCAGAGGTCGTCGTCGTCGTCGTCGTCGTCGTCCTCGTCGTCCTCGTCGTCCTCGTCGTCGTCGTCGTCATCGTCTTCGTCGTCATCGTCGTCGTCGTCATCGTCGTCTGTCGTCATCGTCGTCATCGTCGTCGTCGCCGCCGCCGCCGGCGTCGTCGCCGCCGCAGCCGTCATTGTCGTCGTCGTGGTCGTCGTCGTCGTCGTCGCCGTCGTCGCCGTCGTCGCCGTCGTCGAAGCCGTCGTCGTCGTCGTCGTCGTCGTCGTCGTCGTCGTCGTCGTCGTCGTCGTCTCTGGGACCATAGCATCTGGGGGGGGGGGGCCCGAGGAATCCTGGGACCATACCATCTGGGGGGGGGGGGGCCGTGGGCCCTCGACCCTGGATCATACATCTCTATCGAACGGAGGCGAGGCTGGGGCTGCGGGTTGAGGAAGACTGAGACTGTCTAGAACCCCCTTGGACTGACCCCCTGAAGCTTAGAGTACCCAACAAACATGTGTTTTTACGCAACATCCTCCGCAGTCGTGGACAAACGTCTCAATGCCCCTCCCCCGCCGCCCCGACCCTCAAAACATACTCGCGCGCAGGGTTGCAACGGGAAGGAATGCGGTCACGCCGGGGTAACGAGAGGGACAGCGTAGACCTTGCACGATAAGGAGGAGCAGAAGGAGCACCAGGATGAATAAGGATGCGAAGCATTTCAGGACGAGAAAAGACGACGAGCATGGCGGCAACGACGGCAACGAGGACACCAACGGGGATGACCAGGAAAACGAGGAACAGAAAGGAAGACGAGGACGACGACAGCGACGAGGACCAGGAGTAGACGTGAAGGAGGAGCGGGAGCCGATGAGAAGATGCATACGGCCCGCGAAGGCGAAACATGACAGCGGCATACGCACGGCCACCCCCCCGCCGTCGCTGAGGTGCGCGAAGTAGTTGCAGCTGTGGTGGCTGCTGCACAGCCTTTCGCAGGCGGCCCTGTCGAACGACCTTCGGGGGCGGCCAAGAGGGGAGCGTCCAAGAGAGGGGAGGGGAGGGGCAAATCATGGCCGGCGGCATGTGCGCGGCCGAAGGGGGGGCCAGGGACGTAATGAAATAAGAAGAGGCGCCATGAAATCTGGGGACATCTCATGGCGCACGCCATGATATCCAACCCCCCCTAGTCGTCACCCCCCTCTTTGCCGCCCCCGAGACCTCGTTGTCGGAGCGACGAGGATCTTCTGGTCGGGGCTGCACAGCGTGCCCGGGGCGATCACCAGCTGGCCGCCCGGCAGGGGCGTGGCGAACGCGAAGCCGAGGTGCCCGCGAGGCCGACAGATCTTGCTGTCCGAGAATGAAGGGGCCCTGGGACACACAAATAAATAGGCAGAAATAACAGGATTCCCCATATTTTTCAATTTTGGGGGGATGTTCGCCTTCCCCCCCCCTTCCAATATTTTTGCGCATGTTCCTGGAAATCGACGATTCCTTGTGTCTGTGTGCTTTTCCCCTCCTGAGAGGAAGGCTCGCGGCGTGCCGACCCCGGCGTACTTCGGTGACACCGCGGGGATCCTTCAGCTTCGCACGATCGGCCTCGCCGAAGCGACAGATCGTTCAGCATCGACCGATTCTCGGGGAGCGAAGACTGAGCATTTCGTAGTGTGGAGGGCTCAGGGTGAGATCCATATGGGCATTCGCGGCATTCGCGCCTCGGAGATCAATTCGTCCTGTGGTTCTTCTTTTGCAGATTCAAGCCTCGAGAACCCATCGAACCGGCATCTCAGATTTCACCCTGTGCCCTTCACCCAAAAGAAAACGCTCCGGAAGAATGACATAAACATGAACACTCGGAGGTCCGCGCGGATTAGGGTCCAGCGCGGCTCCGAGCAACGCACGCGGACCTCCGATTTGTCATGCTTATTTCCCAATCTGTGCTTGCACTGAAGGGATCCTAGCGGATGTAGGCAGAATTGGCGAACATTTCCCGCCGATTTTGGTAGCCGGCTGGGTTCCCGAGTTCCCGGGGGTTCCCAGGTTCATGGTTATTGCTTCTGGGCCGATTTCGGTGGGTTCCGCCTTTCCGGGTTCCCGGCTTCCCGGTCGATCTCCTTATCGATCTCTTGATCGATCCCATTTCAAACCATCCACTGACTGGGTTTTTTCTCTGGTCTAATGTCATTCTTCGTTCCCATAGATTCTGGGTCGCCGGCGGCGTTCAACGTGGAACGCTGGCGGCGGGGCCGCTGCCGATCGACACGACGCGAGTCTACCGTACCGTCGGAACACAGCGCGACGTATACCTCGCATCGACAGAACTGCTGCATGTCCGGCGACAGAGTAGATGTGTTGCACCCCCCTGCGCGAAGCCTCGCACGCACCCCGTGCACGCGTTGAACGTTGGAGACTGGCGGCGGGTCGCAGCCGGTCAACACGACGCGAAGCGGCCGTGACGTGTCATGCCCACCGCTCGGGAAGCCGATGTCCGAGGGCCCTAGGAGGCACAGGTTGTGTAGAGATTCTCGGGCCCTGGGGGGCCCAAGTTGTCCATGTCCGTTGCGAGCCCCCCCAGGGCATCGGCTCCCCGGGCGGTGGATGTGTGACCGACAGAAGAGCCCCTGAACCCAAGAACACCGGTGCCTGAAATCTATCGGGTGCGCCGAAGGTGGTGGGCTTGTTTTCCACCACCACCACCTTAAGTATCATGGGGAGGGGTTCCTTTTCCTCCTCCTCCTCCACCACCTCCTTCCCCCCTCCAACTTATGGTGGTGGTGGTGGTGGAAAACAGGCCCATCAGATGGGGGGCCACTAAGCGGGAGGTCAGCGCATCATGGCCCGAGGCACGTTCGCGGAGGAGGGCTGACCAGGGATCGTGCTGAACGGAGAAGGGGAGGCCGAGGCCATCATATCTACCCACCTACTTAATCCTCACCCCCCTCGTCTCACACACATGCGACACACTGATTTTGTCCCTGATTTTGTCAACACGGGGTCCGCGGAAGCGCTGACCCCCTCTCCAGGGCCGGCTTCTCGTCCCGAATCAGTTTTGACGTTCCTGGGGTCCGCCGAGAGCCCCCAGAGACCGAAAACGACCCAAAAACGGCCCGCTGGTATTTTTGTTCACACAACCCTTTGGAGGCAAGGCTAGACGGGAAACCATCTGTGCAGACGAAAGAAAATTCAGAGCAAGCAAGGTTGCCTCAGCAAGCCTGGGCTTGGCCGAGGGCGACGGCGGCGAGGCTAACCTTCCCTCGCAGACGCTTTCGCGGTCTCACCCCCTCCCGCTTCATGGCATTAGGGGGAGGAGGGGGACCGCCCTCGAGGTACTCAAAACCTCTCCCAAAACTCCTCCAATGCTTGTTCACACAACCTCAGCATATCCGCCGACTTTCCTTCCGCCGCCCTCCCGCCGGCGAAGCCGCCCCCCTTCTGCTCACGCTGCCCTCCGCCGGCTTCGGCCCGAAGCCGACTGCGAGACGCGCCGACGGCCGGGTCCCCCCTGGGACGCGACAGCAGCGGAGAGGGGCAAGCTGGCAGGGCGTGCGCGGGGAGCCGAAGCCCGAGCCCCAGGGCGCCGTGGGAGCGGGATAGGCCACGAGTTGGGGGACACGACCGCTGAGGCTACCTCTGCCGCCTGCTCCGGGCAGCGGAAAGAACCCTCGCGGATCGACCCGGCAAACGGCGACAAGGGGCCCAGCCATCCGACGATGAGACTTTCCAAGGCGGCCCCAGAGGTCCAAGAACAAAGGGGTCCGACGCAGGCAACCATAACAAAACGCAACAGAACAAGATTCATCATGACCCCACGCCGCGGCTTACGCGGGCCGCCAGCTAGGTACACCGAGTGGAAAAGAGGGCGCCTATACGTGACCATTCGCGGGAAGCTTACGTGCGAATGTCGGCACACACGAAACCGTTTCTTCTGGGTCGCTTTTATGTGATGCCCCCTAAGCCCACGACGGGCCCCAATGGCCGAAGCGTCGGGAAAAAAACGCCCAGTTGAAACAAAACCACATCGTCCAAGATCTGGGGGGGGTCGACGTCACTGGGCGCAATTCACTTCTTCTAACGACCTGTGAAAGATGCCAGGCCCACGAAAACGGCGGCCCAAACGTCGCCCACATTTTGTTGCTGCGTAAAGCTGTTTGGGGCCTTCTCCCAAAAGGGTGTCATTTTCCACAAAGAGGTTTCAGGGGCCTGATTCGGGGAAGAGCGAACAACATGCTTTTCTGGTGCGCCCAACTGCCAGGGCCTCCGCCGTCACCTCCTCCTCCTCCTCCTCCCCCTCCATCTCCTCCTCCTCCTCCCCCTTCTCCTTCTGCTCCTCGGGTGGCTCGCAACCTAAGCGGCCACAAATTGAGATAGAAAAGATGTCCGGCCGTGGAGAAACGAAGGCCTTTTCCGTAGCTTGCACCACGCTCGAAAAATACCATCGCATCACGGTCGGGTCATGAGCTCCACTCTTTGTTCCCTGCTCCAGGGACGTCGATTCTCGGAGGAGGAGGATATGGAAAAGGCATCGACGGACAAATAAGAAAACGACTCGGTCATTCGCTGCATGTCAGATTTTACATGCTACTGCTCTGTCTGCTGCATGGTACATGGCACAGCGCTCAAGCAACCTCCGACAAATAATCAAACTCGGACGAACCGAGCGAGAATGGCTTAAAGCGCACCGTGCAACCCCTAGAACCCGATCGATTCGGTGAACGGGTCGCACAGAACACCCTTCCGTGAGTGGGGGGGGGGGGGGCGGGCTTCCCCTCGGGCCCCTCTGGCACCGACGCCTCGAATGCTGTATGCCCCCGGCAGGTTCCCGAGTCACCCGGTAAAGTTGAATTATTGAGCAGGGACCGACCGACCGTCCCGGCATTTCTCTAGGCCTACCACGAAATATTTTTAGAACTCAAAAGTGTTTTAACAACAAAAGCACGGTTCTTAAATTCAAATCATAAACCCGACGTGCTAAAGCAAGACAGTCTCGGCCAGACATGCTCTCAGAACATGTCGTGGAAACCACACTCGGTTCTTAGAACATTGTTTGGTAGGCCTATAGGCGAGCCAAGACGCTTCGCCACTGCTTGAAATTACGTCCCCAACGCCGGCAACGCAGACGCGGCTGGCGAAAACGGAGGAGAAGGGAGGAGGAGGGCAGCCGAGCCCACGTCGTGCCCCGAGCTCTGGCGCCCCGCTGCTCCCAGGCGCGCAGGGGGGGCATGCCGAGGCCTGCTTGAAGGGGAGCGTCTGCTTCGCGTAGATGTGCATCCGGCTCGAGTAGTCGCTGGCACGGGTGCGTGGCTGAGGCCACCGCTGGCGAAGGCGGAGGGTACACGTCGTTCATTTCTACTCGTGCTCATTTCTAAGTGTGCTCGTTTCTAATTGTTCCTGCCCCCCTAGTGGCCAGGAAGAGGCCCAGGATGGAATAGTTAGAAATGAACGGCTCTTGACCCCCCAAAAAATCAAAGCATGTTCGAATAATTAGAAACGAACGAGGTGTGAGGGAGACAGGAGCAGACTCGCATTGCGGCTGCGGGCGCGGAGCCCAGGCCTTGAGCATGGGCCGAGCGTCCTGGACTTCCTGCAGGCCAAACACGACATGTGCTTAGAGAGAAAAACTGCTGCTTGAGCACAACAACCGCGATGCTCTTAGGACGCAGACATTCGAGACATGACCACCACCATGTTTCAACAACAAGTGTTATGTTTAAAAAAAGTTTGTGCGACCCATATCTTCTTCTTAAGAGAATATATGGTGGGCCTTTTGGCAAATCAGGACCAGTCGTCGCTGCCAGACAAACTGCGGAAAAAGGTCAAATCGGCAGTGCTCCTTGAAACTGAAGCAAATGCCCAGAGTAGCGAGATCAAGAACAAACGAACATATAAGGCGCCTCCCGCCTGTCGCATCACGGCGGCGCCAGCCGCTGCCATTATCGGTGCCTCGCAAGCGCTATCTTGGGAACATGTCAGGCGGGCAACGCGCCCGGGGACCCCAGGCCGTCCATTGTTTTTTGTAGGACCGTCACGCTTTCCAGCTTTCCGTAGGAAAACCTTCGAAAACCAAGAAACCCAGGGCACCCTGGAGGCAAGACGGGTGTTGCTTGGCATGGGTTTCCACCGTTAAAGAGGTGTGGTGTGGCATCACGTGCTTCAATGGCTGCCAGCTGCCATGGCGACCAAGCACAACAACTTGCGGTGCTCCGGCCCTGCCGCGCCCTCCTGCCATGCTCAGGGCAGGGGGAGGGGGAGGAAGGAGAGGGAGAGGGATGGGGGAAGGGGCCCGGGGAGGGGGAGGAGGAGGAGGAGGAGGAGGAGGAGGAGGAGAAGGAGGAGGAGGAGGAGGAGGAGGAGGAGGAGGAGGGAGAAGGAGAAGGAGAAGGAGGAGGAAGAGGTCGAGGAGGAGGAAGAGGAGAGGAGGAGGAGGAGGATGAGGAGGAGGAGGAGGGGGAGGAGGAGGAGGAGGTGGAGGAGGCGGAGGAGGAGGAGGAGGAGGAGGAGGAGGAGGAGGAGGAGAAGGGGGAGGAGAGGAGGAGGAGGAAGAGGAGGAGGAGGAGGAGGAGGGGGAGGAGGAGAGGAGGAGGAGGAGGAGGAGGAGGAGGAGGAGGAGGGGAGGAGGAGGATGACGAGGAGGACGAGAAGGAGGAGGAGGGGGAGGAGGAGAAGGGGGAGGAGTAGGAGGAGGAGGAGGAGGCGGAGGAGGAGGAAAAGGATGAAGAGGAGGAGGACGAGGGACGAGGACGAGGACGAGGGAGGAGGAGGAGGGGAGGAGGAGGAGGAGGAGGAGGAGGAGGAGGAGGAGGAGGAGGAGGAGGAGGAGGAGGAGAAGGAGGGGGAGGAAGAAGAGGACGAGGGACGGAGAAGAGGGGCACGAGAGCTCGAACACGCGCGGTGGACATGGCCACCGACGAGCATCGGCAATCCACCGAGGCTTGCGAGGCAGGGCCGTGGACGGCCCGTGGAGGAGACGCTCCTCGCCCCTCCCCGCCCCTCCCCTGCCAGCGCACTCCTAGGCGCCGTGGTGACGGTGCCCTCGCACGAGGAGTACAGCCGGCACCTCGCTGAGAGGGCGCGAGGGGCGGCCACGGCCCGGGAGGAGGGGGGGAGGGGAGGGGGAGGAGGGAGGGAGGAGGAGGAGGAGGAGGAGGAGGAGGAGGAGGAGGAGGAGGAGGAGGAGGAGGGGGAAGAGGGAGGAGGAAGGGATGAGGAGGATGAGGAGGATGAAGAGGAGGATGATGAGGAGGAGGAGAGGAGGAGGAGGAGGAGGAGGAGGAGGAGGAGGAGGAGGAGGAGGAGGAGGAGGAGGAGGAGGAGGAGGCGAGGAGGAGGCGAGGAGGAGGCGAGGAGGGGAGGAGGGGGAGGGAGGAGGGAGGCAGGAGGAGGAGGAGGAGGAGGAGGAGGAGGAGGGGAAGGGGAGGAGGAAGAGGGAGGAGGGAGGGAGGGAGGAGGAGGCGGCGAGGGGTAGGAAGGTTTTGGCCACTCCCGAGGCCCGAAGCATGCCACCGTAAGGTTTAACACCGCCACCTGGGCCGGAAGCTGACGCCCCTGAGCCACATAAACATGCACCGCCCAAACGGGAGGCACCCCTCGGACGACGGGTACAACCCTCCCTCCCCACCCGTCCACAGAATTAGCTGCAGGCTGTGCCCCGTCGGGCACAATCACGTCACAACAAAAACGCTCTGCTGCGGAGGAGGGGGCCGGTGTCGTCGTGTGAGCCGTCACGGCGGAGCGCCGTGATGTCTCCTCCGCATTTGCAACTCTGGGCAAGCTTATGTCGACGGGGACACTAGCATCGGGACGCTTTCTGGCAGAACAAAAAAAACAATCCGACTGAGGAGAAGTGACCCGCGCAAAAAGACGTCAGCCCGCAGCGGTGAGAAGACAGGCGAAGAACGATGAGATGTAGGGTAACGCGGCCTTCTTCGCCTCCGCCGCCTCTTCCTCCTCCGTCCTGGCCCGAAGATGTAACAAGGGTCGAAATAAATTTAAGGATTTCCGGGGTCCTGGGATGGTTTCCGGAGGAGCCCGAAGGCTCTCGGCAAGCGTCGGCCACGGAGGGTCTTCGGGTTCTCCCAGAGGTCGAATTCAGAGAGGTTCCTGGAGGTTGTCAAAGAGGGTCACCGAGGAGGAGGTGGTGGAGAGGAGGAAGAGGAGATGCAACAGCAGAAGGGACGAGTACGAGAACGAGGCGGAGGAGAAAGAAGATGACGAGAGCGAAGATAAGCATAGCGAGGAGGAGAAGGAGGAGGAGGAGGAGGAGTGTGAGCTATGACATCGCGGGGGAGGAGGACGATGAAGAGGACGAGACGGGACTAGAGGAGGAGGAGGAGGAGGAAAAGGAGGAGGAGGCGGAGGAGGAGGGAGGAGGGGAGGAGGATGGAGGAGGGGAGGAGGAGTGAGGAGGGGAGGAGGAGGAGGAGGAGGAGGAGGAGGAGGAGGAGGAGGAGGAGAAGGAGGCGTAGAAAGAAAGGGATGGCACGAGGCACGATGGGCAGATGACTGGCAGGCATCAGCAAATCAAGCGGCAACCATGGAAGAGATGGGGAGGTCATTACCTGCCCGTGCAACTTATCCTTCTCCTCTGAGCGCAGCTCTTCCTCCTCCTCCTAGTTCTCCTCCTCCTCCTCCTTCTCCTCTTCCTCTTCTCCTCCTCCTCATCTTTCTCCTTCTCCTCTTCATCCCCCTCGTCCACCTCCCCCCTACCCTGGGAGAAAAGCAACCCGCTGCCCAAACTGATCTTTCCTGTTGCAGCATCTTGAACCGCTCCTGCCCCCCAACGTCTTCAGGGGCCCCTGGGACAGCCACATAATCGAGCACGCACTGCTCTCCCTCTCTGTCTAACTCTCTCTCTCTCTCTCTCTCTCTCTCTCTCCATTCATCGATCACTCCCGCACTACCCGCCATCGCGCCTGCCATGGGGCCCCAATGGCTGCCCAGCGATACTCCCCTCCGACCAGGCTGCTGCTGCTACCCAGGCGGCCGCGGCCGCACAAGCCACGAATATCTGCCGCCCCCGCACAGTCTGAACGCCCCCGTCTCGGGTTATGTTGCTCCCGTCGCACTTAAAGACCACATCCCAGAAATACTTTCGAGCGCACGGAAAACTGTCGAAAGAGTGTCCAAACAGTGTCGGGCGAGTGCCTCCCAGGGCTCGACAGGTAAGAATCATTGAGTTTCGGGACTCTTCTGGGGGCTCAGAATTCCTTCCCGTGATCAAGGCTACAGCAGGTTGGAACATCATACGTCTTGGGCTCTGGAGGTCAGCACAGCGGCAGTGCGTCAGCAGTGCGGTCAGCTACGCGAGCTGAAGGACAAGCCCTCGGCCCCCGCAGGCCCCCCAGGGGTCGCCCTCGCCCCTGGCAGACCGGACGACGGCGCAAGGGCGCTGCCCAGAGAAGGGCCCCAAGACGGCCCGCGGCACTCTCGAGGCGGCCCCAAGGCGGTCCCATCCCTCCGGATGGCCCCGAGAGCCCCGGAGGACCTCTCCCCCACGAAGAAGAGCCCCCACGAGGCGCCCACGAGTGCACCCCACCGAGGAGCGTCACGACAGCCGTGCAGTGCCACGGCCTTGCCTTGCTGCAGCATAGTTGAGCTGCGTCACAAAGGTGCGGATGCTCGCATGCGAGGCAGCGCAGCTGGATAGACAGGTGGGCGACCATCCTATGCCCTACATGTTGTCAGGCCTGAGGCGATGGAATGTCTAGGGATGCGCCCTCAGAAACTGAGGGATTATTCAAAACCGGCACCGAGATAATAGAGGCCTTCCAGATGAGGTCCGAGCAGATGGGGTCCGAGGATCGTGCTGCATCGCCGATGCATCGGCGATACATCGGCGACGTCGGCGACGCATCGGCGCCGTCGGCATTGAGAAAATCGGCTTCCACATCGAGCCACATTGACCAAAGGGATTCCAATCATAGAGATAGGAGGGTGAGATAAGGTGATGCCTAGAGTTGAGGTGATGTCAATCGTAGGGATGGGGATCTTCGCCAGGGTGGTAAGATGAGGGGTGGGGCGTAAGGGCTGCGAAGCGGGGAGGACGTGTGCAGGCAAAGCACTGCAGAGAGAACCCTGCGCATGGAACGACGGCCTCCTTCCAGGCCCAACTGCGCCCAGATTCGGGAGGAACGCGGAGCACCCGGGGGAGGACCTGCCCTGAGAGTCGCCGACCAGAAGCCCCGAGGAAGCCTCGAGGGTCCCCCAGAGACCTCCACGAGGCCCCCCGAAGGCTCCCAGGAGGCACCCCAAGATAATCTCTAATGCGGCCCCACAAGAGTGCCCAAGAGGGGGAACGCGAAGGGACATCGACCTTTCGGAGCCATACCCTTCTGTCGCTTGGTACGGGCCCCGCAGCGTGACCCCCATGGGGTCGGCGGTGCGGCGTAAGCCAATGAATCACTGACCTCTTTAAGACGGCCCAGGAGGGCCCCACGGAGGCCCCCAAGAGCACCTCCAGATGCCAAACATTGTCATTTCACGTTAGGTTTTTACTGTTGTTCTAGTTTTCGCTGTTTCGACCCTCGGGGGTCCATGATAACCCAAGCCGCCTCAAAGATGGCCCTAAGACAGCCCCAGAGCTCCCCAAGAGGGCCCCACGACAGCCAAAGAGGGCCCCACGACGGCCAAAGAGGGCCACACGATGCCCCGAAGCGGCCCAACTGACGCCTCAAGAGGACCACAAGACGGCCCAAGAGGACCCTGAGAGCCACGCGGCGGCCCCGATAGGCTCCCAAGACGGCCCCCAAAAGGGCCAGACGGCGCAAGAGCGCCCCAGGACGGCCCACAAAAATCCCCAAGCGGTTCCAAGGCGGCCCCCAGGAGCCCGCAAAAGGCCTCCAGGAGGCCCCCAAAAAGGCCCCAAACGGCCCTAAGACACCACCAAGAGGCCCGCGGAATTGTGTACGAATGACGCGGTGTTGCTATGCCCATCGGAGCTTGACCTTGGCGGTGGCGTGTGCTAACACGCCGTGTATGCTCCTTGCCCTCGTGGACATTCGAACGCTTGTCCTGGCGCTGAAACGGGGGGGCGGCGCATCCGCCCCCCGTGGCGCTGCCAGCGCCATGGGGCGGGCAGAACGACACGGCAGAGCAGCGCGGCAGACGAGCAAGGCAAACCACCCAACGCCCAGCCTTTTACGTGCTACGGACAACCCTGCGAAGCAAGATGAATGACTGACCTCGTTCCGAAACCAAAGCTGTCTGCATTCCAACGTTCTCGGCAGCATGTGCACCCGCCATCGGTGGAGTGCACGATGTAGTTACAGTCGAGGTTCGAGTTGCAGAGGGCCTTCGGGCAGCGCGCTGCAACACCATACGGACTCAGACGTATATGCAAACCACACGGCAAAGATCAAGGTATACGTCTCGCCGTGTTCATCGCACAGATACCCACCATCTTCTCTTCGAATAAACTCAGAACATATCTTGAACACCAAACTTGTGCCGACTGGCTTCCGAACAATCCAGTGCATGTCATTGCGCTCCCTCTGGTTTGGTCCACATTACCCTCCTACTGCTGATGCTACTAACACTGTTCCTTCCCTGCCTCCGTCCGCTTCCCCTCCCTCTCCCCGAATTCATTCTGAAGGCGGATGACATTTGGGGCTTCTGGAAACAGTGCCATGACACGAGCACTGCCGCCATCGCCGTCGCCGATGAGGTTCCCAGGCCTGGCACTTGACCACATCTCCCCAATCGGGCCCACACGGACCACATGGAGCGCTCAGGCTGTGCGTGTCCGCGCACATCACGTTGCCATTAGCGTCCAAGTCCTGGGCAGAGGGTGCACAATTGAACTGGACAACAAAAAGCAATACGGCCGCGCAAACAATACCCGACTCGCCTTCGCTGCTCAGCCTCGACTTCACTGTAACAATGCAACTGTGAGCCAAGGGCAAGCGTATCTCGATGTTAGATCTTGGGGCCGTCGCCACCTCGACCCGTCACGAGCGACGCCCCTGTGGAACTCCTGAACCTGGAGACGGAGAAGACACGGCGCAAATGCGACCAGGCGGCATGGCAATCGAGGCTACCTCCAAATCCCCACGGGCGATATGTCGAGAATTTGTGGCTTACCTCCACACCCCACAGAACACGTCGAAAGACGGTCTCGAGGAGCGGGAGGGGAAGCGACCGCGCCCTTGGCGATAGAGCGAAACGGGGCACCGAAAAGCGAAGCGGCCAGCATGCAGAAGCGACCCCGCTCCAGCAGGGTGGCGCGGCGGGGGGGCACAGCTGCACGTCCACGGCTTCGCGGTCTGGACTCCTCGGGCCGCGCCCCCACAGTCACCCAAAGGCACTGCGCGGGCGCCCCGCCGGGCACGCGCCGCTGGGATGGCGCATCTGCGGGGGGCAGCAGACGACCGCAGCCACACCGAGGACACGCAGTCGGGGATGTCTTGCGCGTGCCAGGCACTCGTCAGAACACCACCACCAGCTCAGTACTGGCAGTGGTCGATGTGGGCGGCCAGGGCGACCGAATCGGTACAGCAACCACAACCACGTTGCTCGCGTCCAGGTCGGTGGGCGCTCCCCCCGAGAGGCCCTCCAGAAAAATCCACTCAAGACCTGGCTGTGGCTCCCTGTGGTGCCCAGAGCAGCCGAGCCCGCGCGCTCGGCGCCCAGACCGCCTGCAGGGAGAAGGAAACGCACCACCACCACCACCACCACCACCACCACCACAAACAACCACCACCACCGCCACCACCACCGCCACCACCACCACCACCACAACCACCACCACCACAACCACCACCACCACCACCACCGCCACCACCACCACCACCCGGACGATGGAGGCAGAGGGTGGTCAGGGGAGGGGCGGTGTTGGTGGTGGTGGTGGGTAATGTGGTGGTGTCGGTGGTGGTGGTGGTGGTGGTGGTGGTGGTGGTGGTGGTGGTGGTGGTGGTGGTGGTGGTGGTGGTGGTGTATATCGTTTCGGGCGCTCTCGCGTGACATCGTGCACACCCGCATTGTGGAAACCAGTGTTTCGATACCGCTACTTTCCGTACCTCTTCTGGGGTGGGGTCTGACCAGAATTCCGAGGCGACTCCAGCGGAGGCCACCAGGGCATCCCCAGAGGCCCCAGAAAGGGAAAACGAGGGAAGGGTAGCAGTATGGGTACCTCTTCCTCCTCCGACGCATCCCGCACACCAGCGCATCCTGAATCCCCCAGGGGGTGGTGGTGGTGCGCTCCCTGCCCCGAAGCGTGGGCAAGGGCCTGCGCGCGGGCCTCGGCTCTCGACGCCGGAGCTGCCCCGGCGAGGGCGAGGGCGGGGAGCACGAAGCTCTGCAGCCCCCCCCGGGGCGCCGCAGCCGGCCGACACCAGCGCCTCCCCCGGAGAGCGCCGACCACGGCATCCCCGGTGCGATTTCAATCCAGACGAGCGCGTTCCGCTACTCGCAAAGGAACTACTCGCAGAGTGACTGCTCGCAAACGGCCTGGATCCCCCGCGGGGGCTCTACGATAAAGTACATCCAAGCAGGCATGTGTGTTTTTCGGACGCTTGCGAGTAGGCACTCTGCGAGCAGTGAAACGCGCTCGGTGACGATCGGTCGAGATTCCGGCCTGCGCCCACGCGTCGGGGAGCCAAAAAGCAATATCAACGACAAGCCGCCGTGGGAACTCATCCGCGTGACTGCTGTGGCTAAACCACAGGCCTTCGGACAAAAACGAAGGAGTAACACGGTGACGGGCTACCAACGGCAACGTGTGACTTTGATACTCCTGCTCCCTCCGAATATGGATGATGCCCTGATGGGCCTGTTTTCCACCACCACCACCATAAGTTTGATGGGGGGAAGGAGGAGGACGATGAGGAGGAGGAGGAGGACGACGACGAAGAGGAAGAGGAGGAGGAGGAGGAGGAGGACGACGAAGAGGAGGAGGAGGAGGAGGAGGAGGAGGAGGAGGAGGAGGACACCCCCCCTTGGTGGTGGAAAACGGGCCCATCATGCCCTGCGTGCGGGCGGGCGGAAGTTGCCAGCCCCCCGCCCCAAGCATGCGGGGCGTGCGGTCGTGGCGGAGCCGTGGGAAGAATCACCCAGCTGTCCTGCGCAGGATCTGCTCCGGGACGGCGTGGGACAGACGACCACCCCCACGGCCTCTAAGACGAAGCCAGGATGAGGGTGGAATCGGGTGAAGATAAATCGAGAATCTCTAAGATGTGGCGGCTCTGGAGGATGTATCGGGCGCTGCGGCCTTCTCAGAGCGTTCCAGAACGCTCTGAGAGCGTTCTGGAAGGCGCTGGAACGGATGTATCCCCGCCCCATATTGGCTACACGCAAGAGTGACCCAGGGAAAGAGTGACCTTTAGTGCGCGGCTTGTTGGGGGCCGCGGGGAGACCAAACACAAGCGCGCAAGATGCTACCACCGCATCGCGTTCGGCGATCGGGGGACCCCATTTGGCCCGCACCAAAGGTCACTCCGGCGAAAGGTCACTCTTACGTCTAGTCGACTATAGCCTCTAGCCCCGTCCGAGCCTCCCGGCTCTTCTCCAGCCGGGGAGCTTGGAGCACACATGGCTGCAGGTGGCATGCGGAGCACGTGGGGGCCACACGCTGGGGACACGTGCGGGAAACCGGAGCGCCGCGGCGCGCCCGTCCTGACTTGTGCGGTGCTCTCTCAAGCCCGTGCCTTTTCCCAATATGCGCGTCAACCCTGCTGGAGCTCGCCAGAACTCGACTGCAAGTGGCAGCGGCACGCGAAAGCAGCAAGTGCACGTGACACAATGTTGCGCACGAGTGCAATGGCAAACGTACAAATGCATGCACGCGTGCATGTGGCGTGCATGTCGCCCAGGCCGGCAGAGTCAACTGCATCCAGCTCTGTTACAATTGCCCCTGCATGCACCTCCAACTATCCCTGGGCCCTGGCCATGAAGTTTGACCAGGTCGCCGGGTCCGAACAGAGCGGCGTCGAGTCGGACAGGCAGGAGGGCCTTCGCCGATCCCGCACCGTGGCAGCACGGAGTCCACGGCAATCTGATACGTAAAACTCCCAACTGCCTCTTGCTCTCTTCCTCCCCTCCTGGACCCCCGAAGATATGATGGAAAACGATCGCATGGCCGCCTGGTGTGTGCAAGGGAACTTCGACGGATCCTGGGCTCCGGAAAACTCCGAAAAGGGCCAGATACGTCCCCAAGGGGGCCACAGGAGGGTCTGAAGAGATCCCTAAAACGCTTCAATACGTAGCACCCCGCAATTGCGGATAAGAGTGAGGGGGCGGGCGCGGGCGACGCGGGCGTCGAGCCGGCGGACCTCGTGGCCCTCACCTTCCCTGTCGATGGCGCCCTCCTCCTCCTTCTCCTGCTGCTCCTCCTAGTCCTCCTCCTCCTCCTCCTCCTCCTCCTCCTCCTCCTCCTAGTCCTCCTCGTCCGCGTCCTCGTCCTCATCGTCGTCGTCGTCGTCGGCCTCCTAGGCCCCTTAATTGTGGGCGCCTTGAGGCAGCTTCCCCTGAACCCAGGCTTCGGGCACGGATGCCGAATTGGAGCAGGCAGCTGGATTGTCAATGAACGTGTTCAGACACAGACCCGCCGCAGGCGCCGATGTGATGTTGTAGAGTGAACGTGGGCCGGATCGGGGGAATGGCACGAGGGCGCTTTCCCAAACCAATGCGAGCAAACCCGCCGCAGACGCCGACGTGCGTGCTCTGACAAGTTCAGCGCGGGGGGGATCGCTGGTGGGCCACCCGGAACGAATGCAGAAACAGCCCGCCGCAGGCGCCGAATTTTTGGCTTGCTCAGTGAAAGTAGTTTGGGTCGTGGGTGGGTCGCGAGCTCTCCACCTCCACCTGGAAGGAATTCAAAAACAGCCCGCCGCAGGCGCCGAAAATTTTGATTTGTACACTGAAAGCGGTTTGGGTCGCAGGTTCTCCCCCTGGAACGAATGCAAAAGAAACCCGCCACAGGCGCCGAAATTTTGGCTTGTTCAGTGAACGTAGTTTGGGTCGCGGGTGGGTCGCGGGCTCTCCACCTCCACCTGGAAGGAATTCAAAAACAGCCCGCCGCAGGCGCCGAACATTTTGATTTGTACACTGAACGCGGTTTGGGTCGCGGGTGGGTCGCAGGTTCTCCGCCTGGAACAAAAGCAAAAGAAGCCCGCCGCAGGCGCCGAAAATTTTGGGTGGGTCGCGGGGTGGGTCGCGGGTCGCGGGTGGGCCGCGGTGGGTCGCGGGTGGGTCGCGGGCGCGGTTTGGGTCGCTAGTTCCCCACCTGGAACGAATGCAAAAGAAACCCGCCGCAGGCGCCGAAATTTTGGGTGGGTCGCGGGGTGGGCGGGTGGGTCGCGGGTGGGTCGCGGGTGGGTCGCGGGTGGGTCGCGGTGGGTCGCGGGTGGGTCGCGGGTGAGTCGCGGGTGGGTCGCGGGGTGGGTCGCGGGTGGGTCGCGGGTGGATCGCCGGTGGGTCGCGGGTGGATCGCCAGGGGGGTCTCGGGGTGGGTCGCGGGCGGATCGCGGGGTGGGTCACGGTTGGGTCGCGGGTGGTTCGCGAGTGGGTCGCGAGGTGGGTCGCGAAGTGGGTCGCGGGGTTAGTCGCGGGTGGGTCGCGGGTGGGTCGCGGGGCGGGTCGCGGGGTGGGTCACGGGGCGGGTCGCGGGTGGGACGACGACAACAACAACAACAACAACAACAACAACAACAGCAGCAGCAACAGCAACAGCAACAGCAACAGCAACAACAACAATAATCCGCATCGCGGAATTCCTCTTCAGCCACGCACCCAGGGACAGTGAATGACCGTTCGGTTCAGCCCCTCACTCTGATATAGCCTTCGAGAGCAACATGATCAGTGCGATCTTGCACTGTGTTTGCAAACGCGCTCTTTCTTTCAAGCATGTAACGGGGATTGAACAGATGCAATCAAGATAGATTGCCACAAATCCCACCAGCCCTTTGGGCGTGAGTGGTTTAGCGAGCTCTCTCTGTCCTCAACCCCCCTTCTTCCCCTTCGGGGAGGGGTTTACCCCTCCCCCTACCCCCCCCCCCTGGGCCTGGAGAGGGCGCCCCGCGGGTGGTTGGAGGGGTCTTTTTCGACTCCTGGGAGGGCCAAAAAACGACGACCCTCACGAGGATTCTGGCCCCGGGGGGGGGGGAGGGAGTTTGGCGCCTCAGCTCGTCTTTGAAGCCAAAAAACATTGATTTTACTAGGGTTTTGGCCCCATGTTGGCCTTCTGAGGGGGCCGCGCTCATCTTCCCTCATGGCAAAATCATTGATTTTACGAAGGTGTTGGGCTCATTTTGTCCTTCTCAGGGGGCAGCGCTCATCTGCGCTTCTGAGGAGGTCGCAAGAGGCCCCAAGATGGCCCCAAGAGGCCCCCAGGAGGCTCCCAAGAGGCCTCCAAGAGGCCCCCAAGAGGCCCCCAAGAGGCCCCAAGAGGTCCCCAAGAGGCCTCCAAGAGGCCCCAAGAGGCTCCCCCCCAAGAGGCCCCCAAGAGGCCCCCAAGAGGCCCCCAAGAGGCCCCAAGAAGCTCCAAGAGGCCCCCAAGAGGCCCCACGAGGAGCCCGAACGACTCACACCAGGACGAGGGACCCGAACGACTCACACCACGAGGAGCCCGAACGACTCACACCACAAGGAAGGGCCCGAACGACTCACACCAGGACGAGGCGCCCGAACGACTCACACCACGAGGAGCCCGAACGACTCACACCACGACGCGGGCCCCGAACGACTCACACCACGAGGAGCCCGAACGAGTCACACCAGGAGGAGGGGCCCGAACGACTCACACCAGGACGAGGGGCCCGAACAACTCACACCACGAGAAGCCCGAACGACTCACACCAGGACGAAGAGCCCGAACGACTCACACCACGAAGAGCCCGAACGACTCACACCAGGAAGAAGGGCCCGAACGACTCACACCAGGACGAGAAACCCCAAACGACTCAAATCACGAGGAGCGCTTTCTCTCCCTCCTCCTCCGCCTCGTCCTTCTCCCGCTCCCCCCACAAGGAGGATGTACAAGGAGGCGGGAGGAAGGAGGAACAGGGGAGATATGCGGGGCCAAGCGGACACACGCCTGAAAAACACGACTGTCGGCATGCTTCGCAAGAGTTGCTGCTGTGAGATGGGCTGGTGGGGATACGCGAAGCGTAAAGAATTACACACTGTAATACGCACAACGCCTGCCTTACATTCAACCAATCAAGACGAGGATTTGAAACCGCTGAAGGCGTCCCATATTGCACAACTTAATATGTTTCGTCATACGTCATACGGTATCCAATTGGCAACTATCATGTCTGCGATGAAAGTGTACCAGCTGAGCCAATGGGCTGCCTAGACCTGACACGTGCTTGATAAGGAACTGGATGCCCGACAGCATTGGGGGGTAACCCCTGCACGCCGGCGCAAGCGCACGAAACTCTTGGCGCGCATTTGTGCTGCCAAATGGGCGACCCGAATGCCGTAGTCACCCTTATCTTTCAATTCATGGGGGCCTTCCGTGCCATCTTGCTGGCCACTGCAAATCGACGCTAACCGCCGCTACTCTATGCAAATTCGACGCTAACCGACGCTAAGTCGGCGCTCTCTTATCGATTACCAGACGCTAGCGTACGCGAGTGCACTCTAAAGGCGGAATTCCAACGGGACACAAAACTCGCATGAGTTGCTACCGAATCATCCTATGCTGCTGTGCATTGACTGCGATGTCCTCGAGCTGCTTGTAGCTGCTGCCGAACCACAGCAGCTCTGGGTCCGTCATCGCAGCGGCCGCCTTGCTCATCGGCTCGGCCACGCCAAGCCTCTAATGCCGCCAGAACCCGCCATGCGCACGGGACGACAAGCCTCTGCAGACCAATCTTCGATCTTCCTTCCCGATCACCTCACGCCCAGCAACGCGCGGGTGCGCGCCCCGTATCCTATTGGTATACGTCCCCGTTTCCTCCTCATACCCCTTCATCATCCTCATTGCCCTCACTCCTCGCCGAACTTCTCTGCTTCCTCCTGGTGGTGGTACTCCTTGTCCTCACACCGGAGACGGGAGACGGAGAGAGGGAGGGAGGACATACGTACACACACACACACACTGATAAATATGTGCACGCGCAGATCACGAGACGGAAAGACGGAGAAAGAGAACGACAGAGAGAGAGAGAGGGAGAAAGAGAAAAAGAGAGAAAGAGAGAGGGAGAGAGAAAGAGACAAAGATAGAGAGGACGAGAGAGAGCACAGCGGCGAGAAGGGGAATAGGGGAGGGAAGTTGGGAGAGGGGAGGGGGAGAGGAAGAAGAGGTGATGAAAGAGGGGCACTGAGTACTACTTGGCGCGGCCGTGGATGCTTTGGCGAGGGGCGAGAAAGGGCGGGGGGGAAGAGGGGGGAGTTGAGAGGTATGAGGACAGGATGAGAGGGCAGTAGGTAGGGATGAGAGGAAGAGAGTGGGAGGAGGAAGAGGGGGGGGGGAGGTGGCGGTGGCGGGGGAGAGCAGGGCCCACATCGGGAGAAAGCCCGATCGTCCCCCTCGCCTCCCTTGTCAAGGGCTTAGCGACTTTCTGCTGTCCCTCTGCTCGCACTGGATCTTCGACGATGTACCTAAGGTTACCCGGACATGTCTGGATTGAGGTCGGCCACTGAACATCAACGTATCCAGCTAAATCCTCGCAAGTCTTGTGGAGAAGCGCCGTTGAGCAAGTATGAACCCCGCTCCTCCTCGTCATGCCTCTGGAAGCACTGGAGGCCAAGAGATGCATAGGGTTCGACAATACCGCTGCAGGCTTCCGATTGTATCATTTAGATTCCTCGAAAATTATACGGCGTGACCCTTTCACGACTGGTCTTTCGCGGCGAGTCGATGTTTGTATTGATGCGGGCCCCGAAGCCCGAAGAAGTCTCCAGGACGCCGAGGCAGCCGGTAGAAAATGTGGAAACCGTGGCCTCGTCGTGGCGTCTGCAGGTCCCTGGCAGGTCTCCATGAGATCTCCAGGAGCGCCCCCATGGCCCGAAAAGGACCGAAAACGTCAATTGACGTCGAGCACTTCCTCCTCCCTCCTCCTGCTCCTGCTCCTCCTCCACATCCTCTTTGTCCGCCTCCTCCTCCTCCTGCTCCTCCGTACTCCTCCCCCCTCCTTCCGTACTCCTCTTTCCTCCTCCATCTCCTTCCTCCTTCCGTCCGTCCTTCCTCCTCCTCCCCTTTCTCCGCATCTGGCCGCGGGCCTCCTGTTCTCGAAGTCAAGGACCACGACAAAGCGCTCCAGGAAGGCTCCGCCCAGTACCCACAGGTTCTCAGCGGCGTCCGCGCGCACCCCCGCGTGGTCCTGTCCCGGGGGCCGAGGGAGCACTGGACCCTCTCGTTCCAAAGATCCTGAGATCCGGGCGCTGCATTTGTTCCAGACTGAGACGTTTCGGGCCCCGGTGCCATCGCAGATCGAGGCGGCTCGAAAGATGACGCAGGAAGATGGGGCCAAAGTCTCTGGTCGTTTCACAATGTCAGATCTCAAGCGAGATGTCCCTGAAAGTAGCCCTGGCCAGGTCTGTCCTGGGCCCCGATTGGCGAGGCTGACCCCTGGCGCCCGAACCACGAAACACAGGCCACATCGACGAAGCCAGGGAGACCCACGAAGACAGGGAGACCCCAGGCACAGGTCCGCCCCAGAACCCCCCCATCGCGTCGTGAACAAAAAAACACGACGGGCTGCTCGTGGCAATGTTTTTGCCCCCGGAAGCCCTTGCAGGGTCCAGACCGTCAAAGACAACTCAGGATGAAGAACCTGTCCCAGGGTGTGTTTCGGCGGAAGCCAAGCCGCCCTTTCGTAAAACACCCTCTAGAGAAAACGGCCCGGGACCGAAACCGGCGGACCCGGACCCGCGAAAGTGACGGCCGCGACGCCCTCTCGCGAACCGAAAACGGCGAGTTCGCTACTCGACGCGTCAGGGTAGGAGGTCTGCCCACGCCCGAATGCTGCGAGGCCCACGGGGCTTTGCACAGTGCAGCGGGAAGCACGCGTCGGGAGTCCGGCGCGCCGCAGGTGCCTCCGAGCCTGCGCTGGCGGGGGGGCCCGGGTGGGCCTCCGCGTGCGCCCGAGCCTCTCGGGACATCCTGAGGGCCTCAGGTCGGGCGTGTCCCCCTTACGGGCGGATCTTTGGACGAAAAACTGAAAAGACCCCAGAAAGACCGAAAAGTAGGCAAAAGTGCCCCCGAAAATCGTCCCCCGACTATGTTTTGATTATTTTTGAATATTCCTCTTGCAGAGGGTCATGCCCGACTTAATCCTGGGAGCCTCAGACTTGAGGCCACTCTGGCCCGCTCGATTCGCCTCCTTCTCTGCTGAAACGGCCGGGCCCGACGAGGTGACTGGGGGCCCTGGGACCGCCGGAGCCCCCGCCTTGAGTTTTCACGCCGCAAGTCGCCCGCGCCAGAGACACCGTGGCGCCAAGTTTTGAGCCCTGAACCTTGAGGGAGCCCCCCCCATCAAGAGATGGAGATCGATACGGCAATCATACCTCGAGACTCGGGAGGCGGAGGACTCAGACCCCCGACGTCGTGATTTCTGTTCACCACGTGGACCCGAGGGCTTCTCGAAACCTCCCCTGAGGCCGGCGATTCTTCATGCGTCCTTGCTCGACGGTCCCAGGGCCGGGCCGGGGCCCTCAGAGTCCGACGCTACACCAGCCATCCGACTTAATGCCTTCACAACGCGGGCAGATCTGGGATCGGGATGCGAGGCCTCCTGGATGGGGTTGGAGTAGATCGGGTCGGAGGATCGCGCCGCACCGGCGATATGTCGGCGATGCATCGGCGACGTCCGCGTGAAAAAATCGGGCTCCGCATCGACCCGCATCGGAGCCGCATCGGCGATGCGGCGCGATCCTCCGACCCCATCCGCTCCGACCTCATCCAGGAGGCCTAGAACAACCGCCCCCAGACCACGCCCCTCGGCGCGTTCTGACCAGAACCCCAAGCCGCACCACAGCCGTGGCGGCGACGAGAGGCTGCCGGGCGGCGCAGAGACGGGGGAGGAACGTCCCGAGAAGCGTCGATCCCCGATGGTTCTGCCCCCACTCCTCAAGGTTCGGTGGCGGGCCTGGGGAGAGTTGGCTGCAATCAAGTCGGGCCTGTCCCCCATCCAGGGGGATGTTGGACGAAGAAAACTAGTCCAAACGTACTCCCCAAATCATCAAAAATGGTGAAACAAAATCGTCCCCAGACTACTCTTTGACGATTTTTGACTATCCCCCCTGTAGAGGGACAGGCCCGACTTGAGGCTACACGCACAGAGTGAGTCACCTCTGGTGCGCGGCCTGCCGAGCCTCGCAATGGGAGGCCACCCAGGCCAGGTTCCACAAGCAGCTGGGGTCGGAGGAATTCGCGCCGCCTCGCCGCTGCATCGGCGACGTCGGCGTGGAGAACGTCGGGCTCCACATCGAGCTGGACAAGAAAACAAACGACACCACCCCACCTACGGCCCCACGGGCCGAAGCGTATACCAGGACATCTGGCGTGGGTTTTTGCAGGGCATATGCTACGGCCCCCGATGGGCCGTAGCGCAACATGGAAGGCCGTAGGAGGGGTGGTGTCGCTTGTTTTTTGGCCGACGAGCTGCACTTGCCATCGCTCGGACGTCCATTCCCAGTGTTTTTTTCGGTTTTGTGCGTGGTTTCTTTCGCGGGATGATCAGGATAATCCCGGCCGAGAAAAAGTGCACACGTCCGAGCGATGCCAAGTGCATCGCCGACGCATCGACGATGCTGGGTGTGATCCACCGACCCCGCTTGGGGGGGAGGCCACGATGCATGCGACGCGACAGTGAGCGGCCCGCGTGCTCGGGCTTGGCCCACGGCGGGCCCCCCCGAACGTCGCGCACCAGCGCAGAGGGCTGCACTCCGGCGCAGGGCTACGCCGATCGGCATGACCAGGCATGGGCCCCGAGGGAGACGGCTGCACGCGAGAGTGACCCTTGGGGCAGGAGTGACCCTTGTGGCGCGGCTGTTTGAGGGCAACGGGACGCCAACCACAAGCGCGCAAGGCGCGTCACTCCGGCGAAGGGTCACTCTTACGTGTAGTCGAGAGGGAGACGGCTCCTGGCCCCCCCCCAGAGGGCCTTCCTCCCCCCCTCCCCCAGGGCCCACTCTGTCGCCCCGAGCCCGTCTCGGACAACCCCGTAGAGCGCACACACGGACCTACTGCAGCACCACGTGCCCTCCTCGGAGGCGCGCGCCCGACCCGGACACATGGTACAACCACAGAATAGTAGATCGCTTCCCGAGCGGTACGGTTAGGTCGGGCGTGTCCCCCTACAAGGGGATTTTCGACGAGAAATAGAAATTACGGGCAAATATTCCAATATGGCCAAAAAATATTCAAAACATAGTCCCCAGCCTTTTTTTACTATTTCTGAGTGTTCCTCCTGTGGAGGGGCAGGCTCGACTTAACGGTACGGCCAGAAGGCGCCCGCCACGGAGCGCCCGCCAAAGAGCTTATACTATAAGATTTCTCGGCGAGCGTGTCGCCCCTGGAGGTGCGACGCACACATCGTGCTCGCATGCGAGGGTGACGCCGGCCCAGGGGCCCCGTGGAGGGCCCCAGGAAGCCAAAAACGGACGGGAAAAAGATCAGGACCAGTTTCCTTGAGGTCCGCCTCTCAGCGACAATTCGCCCTTGAGGAAAAATAGACACGCCCTCCAGGTAAAAGACAGACCTCTCTCTTTGCAAGTCGCCGCTAAGCCCTCAGCGAAAACGACCCTGGACTAGGCCTGGCGGTCGCAGGCCCGCAACCACTGAGGCCGCAGCGTCCGGCCGATAATCACGCAGAGGCAATTCTATCCTCCTCCTCCTCCTCCTCCTCCTCCTCCTCCTCCTCCTCCTCCCTCTCCTCCTCCCTCCTCCTCCTCCTCCTCCTCCTCCTCCTCCTCCTCCTCCTCCTCCTCCTCCTCCTCCTCCTCCTCCTCCTCCTCCTCCTCCTCCTCTCCACATCCATTTCCCTCAGGACACGCTCGCTTCACGGCGAGTCGCTGCGGCGAAGGGCCACTACCACGCGTCGCCCGCAAAAGGCGGAGGCTCGTCCCGGCGCTGCCGCCTCCCTGGCGCCGGACGCGGCCATGCATCGGGAAACGCGCCTTAGGTCGGGCATGTCCCCCTAAAAGGGGTGTTTTGGACGAAACATAAAAAGTAGTCAAACATACCCCCTCAAAAAATACTCAAAAAGACATCCCCAGACTATTGCTGGACTATTTTTCAATATTCCTCCTGTAGAGGGACAGGCCCGACTTAAAACCAACTACATGTATCAAATTTCGTCCCCCCCCATGTCGTCAGTCCCGGCCGTCTCCCTCAGGACCCGATGGCTTCGCAGACCCCCAGCGTCGTCTCTATTCCACGACGTGGATACCCCCGGAGGCCTCGACCCAGTCCCCAGGTATCTCATAGCCGACAGCGCTCCCGGCGGCGAGGCCTCGATCTTGCCTGCAACTCATGCAGGCAATCTTTATATCCATAGTCAGTGCGTCTTGGACTTTCATGGAAGGGGCGCCGCAAGGCCGAGGCGCACTGGATATGGACAAAAAATTAGCCTTTTGGAGGCAGATTCTAATACATATCCAGTGCGCCTCATGTTTATTGGGAAGAGAGTCCGGAACTCCAAGACGCCTTGGATGTGGATATAGACATTGCCCGCAACTTACGGTAGCCTCCCATGCCATCTTGCTGGTTCTTGCGAACCCACGCTAACCGACGCTGATCGACGCTAATACCACCAGCCCTCTGGGCGGAGTGGAGAGTTGTTCTGAATTCCCTGCCACAGCCCCTCCATCCCCTCTTTGGGGGGAAGGGCTTCTCTCCTCCCCCTGTCCCCTCCCCTGGGCGTGGAAAAGGGGCCCCCCCGAGCCGTCAGAGCGCCCAAGATGGCGCAAGATTGCTCCAAGATGGCCCAACACAGCTAGACAGCCTTGACGATGGCTCAAGATATTGTTTACATTTTTGTTAAAGAAGTCTAGGGGGACACTGGAAGAATAGTTGCTTCCCAACGCTGCACTGCGCATATAGAAAAGAAAACAAACAACGGCGGGGCACAACGGACCGCTGGGGACGTCCCCGCGACCGCCCTGACGCTCCGCGTCCAACATAAGGCCATTCAATCTCGCAAAAACAACCGGCGACATGGTGAAAAAAATTGTAAATTTCGGAATGAATAAAAACGAATGGTGAATTTCGGATTCTGGGAGCCAACATAGGGCCATTCAGCTTCACAAAATACAACGGGTGACATGTGTCACCCCCGAAACCGCATGGGAAACACCAATTGTAAATTTGGGGTTCTGGGAGCCAACATAGAGCAATCCAACTTCATAAGAACAACCGGTGACACGTGTCACCCCCGAATCCGTGTGAGAAAAACCAACTGTACATCTGGGATTCTGGGAGCTAACATAAGGCCATTCAGCCTCATCACAAAAGCAACGCAACGGGTGACGAGTGTCTCCCCCGAAATCGTCTGAGAAGAACCAATTGGAAATTTGGGAAGTCTGGGAGCCAACATAAGGCTACTTAGCTTCCCCCCTCAAAAACCGGGGCGACACGTCTGTCCCGAAACCGTGAGAGAAAAATCAATGGTAAATTTGAAATTCTGGAGCCACCATGAGGCCATCAGCCTCAAAAAACAACTGGTGACACGTGTCAACCCGAAGCCGCGTGGGAACAACCAATCGTAAATTCTGGATTCTAGGAACCAGCATACAGCCATTCAGCCTCACACCGCGCGCGAGACCTGGACGCCACCGCTCGCAGTCGCGCGCGTACGTACGTACGCTGTCTCAGTAAGACGAAGACCGAAGTAGCCCGCACACATGCACACATATAGTTCATACGCATATACCCATGCATGCACGTGCGTGCGTGTGTGTACACATCTATGTGTACAAACATACATGTGTGCAATTAGCAAAAGGGACATTTCAAACAAATAATTCTTCGGCGGCGAATGAATGACAGTCGGAATCCGGGGGGGAAGGGAGGTTATCATTTTAACAGGTTAACAGGTTTTGGATATTACCACGACATTGCTCAATGTCGCATCCGACATGCCTCCAAGACGGCCCAAAACAGCCCTGAGAGGGTTCCGAGTGCCCTTTGATCCTCCCAAGGCGCTCTCCGAGAGGCGAAGATCCTTCAAAAACTACGGAACTAAAGGATTTCGGGCTTCTCGCTTTTTCGCTTTCGATGGGCTTAAGACGGCCCAAGGCAGGCCCAAGAGGGGCCCAAGACGGCTCCAAGGCGGCCCCCAGAGCGCCGAGGACACTCCCAAGAGCGCCCGAAGACGGCCTCGACAGCCGCGTTTGGAGCCTCTGAGGGGAGGGGAATTTCTACCCCCCTCCTGTGATCGGTCGCCTCCAAGATGGCCCCAAGAGGTCCGAAAGTGGCGCCCAGCATGACCAGGGAGGCGCCCAGCATCACCAGGGAGGCCCCCAAGCGGCCTTCAAGAGGCCCCCACGAGAGACCAAAGAGGCTCCAAGATGCTCCTCCGAGGCATCAGGGGCGCTCCAAGATGCCCAAAGGACAACCACGATCTCTCCTCCTCCTCCTTTTCTCATCATCCTCCCCTTCCTCCTCTCTCATTCGGGGCAATATGATCTTATTTGTGTTCTTAGCCCGGTCGGAAAAGCGTTAACAACAAGTGACACATCCTCCCCTCCTCCTCCTCCTCTCCTCCTCCTTCTCCTCCTCTCCCATTGGAGGCAATCTGATCTGATGTCGTTCCATACACAGTTGGAAACCAACACACACAACTATTGGCAGCAATGTGGGACCCCGCATCGGGGACGCCACTTGGGTGGACACCCAAGATGGGCCAAGATGGCTGCCAGAGGGCCCTTGGCAACCACAGATGGCCTCCACGATCCCACACGCTAGACAACGTTGGCTCAATATAGCTTCTGACATGCATCCAAGTCTCCTCCGCCTCCTCTTCCTCCTCGTCCTCCTCCTCCTCCTCCTCCTCCTCCTCCTCCTCCTCCTCTCTCTCCCCCTCCTCCTCCTCTCATCCCCCTCCTCCTCCTTCTCTCCTCTTCTTCGTCCTCCTCCTCCTCCTCCTCATCATCATCATCGTCATCATCATCAGCAGCATCATCATCCCCCTCCTCCTCCTTCTCTCCTCTTCTTCATCTTCCTCCTCCTCCTCCAACTCCTCCTCCTCCAACTCCCTCCTCTCCTCCTCTTCCTCCTCCTCATCTTCCTCCTCCTCATCCACCTCCTCATCCTCTTCCTCCTCGAACTCCTCCAACTCCTCCAGCTCCTCCTCCTCTTCCTCCCCCTCCTCCTCTTCCTCCTCCTCCGCCTCCGCCTCCTCCTTCTCATCCTACTCTCCCTCCTCCTCCTCCTCCTCATCCTCCTCCTCCTCCTCCTCCTCCTCCTTCTCTTCCTCCTTCTCTTACTCCTCCTCCTCCTCCTTCTCCTCTCCATCCTCTCTTTCTCGGGTCAATCTGACCTTATGTGGTTCTAAGCCCGTTCGAAGAAAGCATTGGCATCATGGTGGTGCACGAGCCCCTCCCCGATTCCATAACCGTGGCAGGTCAACATTTGTTCAAGAGGAAACAAAGAAGACCCCCGCAAGGTCAAAACAACGCCAGGACGACCTGTTCAACCTACCTTTTGACGGCTCATACAACACATGTTCCGGCCCTCCTCGCACCCCTGGAAGGCGTCCAAGGCGGCTGTCGCACTGTATGCTTATACGCTGCCCTCATCGATTCAACTCACCTGGCGATCGTGTCTGGATGGGCTGGTGCGTAGACGCGAAACGTTAAGAATTGACGCTGGTCGACGCTAAATCGACGCTAGTCGACGCTGAATCGACGCTGTCTCTTCGATTACCCGACTCCAAAGCACGCCATCGCACTCTAGAGCCCGAATGTCAAGGACATGCAAGGCTCCCACGAGTTGCTACAGAAAGGGGCCCTCCCCTCATGGAGGCGTCCCAGATGGGGCCCTCGTAGATGGGGTCCCTGGATCGCTCTGCATGGTCGATGCATCGGCGATGTGTCGGCGACGCTGGCGATCGGCGACGTCGGCGTGGCTACAATCGGGTTCCACATCGCGCCGCATCGCCGATGCATCGGCGATGCGGCGTGATCCTCCGACCCCACCTGCTCGGACCCCACCTGGGAGGCCTAGAAAACTGGCCACAGGCCCCCCTGTCTTCCTCCCCCTTTGCTTAGGTCGGGCATGTCCCCCTACAGGGGGATTTTGCATGACAGAAAAATACCACCCAAATACACCAAGAATATGGCCCCAAAATAGTCCCTAGAGTATTCCCCCTGTAGAGGGACAGGCCCGACGTAATCCTAAGCCATGCTCCTGGGGTGGACTCCCGACCGGCTCCTCCGGCCTCTCCCAGGGCACGGCCCGACCCGAACTTCCAGGAGGGTCCAGCCGTGGTGCTCGCCATCGCTCGGACGTCCATTCCCTGTGTTTTTGTTTCGGTGTCGTGCGTGTTGTTTCGCCAAATGATCAAGGATGCTCCTCGATGGTCCTCGCCGAAGGAAACATGTACACGTCCGAGCGATGCCGAGGGTGATGAGGGCGCTCCAGGACGCGGTCGACCACCACTACGGGGGTGACACCTCCGCCGAGCGCTGGCGGCGCGCACGAGGGGGTAGTGGGAGGGAAAGGCTTCTCGGCGGTGGACAAACCTCCCTGTTAGTAAACCTCCCTGTAATGACAGCGGCCCGAGACCGAAACCGACGGACCTGGATCCGCAAAAATGACGGCCGCAACGCCCTCTTGCGAACCCAAAATGGCCAATTCGCTAATCGACGTGTCAGGGGAGGAGGTCTGTCCACCCCCGAGCTTCTCAGAAGGAGGCTGCTTCGTAGGAGGCGCGGGCCTTACACAGCGGCCTCCGAGGTGGGGTCCCAGTGAATGGGGTCGGAGGAATGCATCGCCGATGCATCGGCGATGCATCGGCGATGTCGGCGATGCGTCGGCGACGTCGGCGTGTAGACAATCGGGCTCCACATCGAGCCGCATATCCGATGCATCGGCGATGTGGCGCGATCCTCCGACCCCATGCACTCCGACCCCATCCAGGAGGTCTGGATCAGAACTGCAGATCAGGCACGCGCCTTCTCAGAAGCAAGGGGTGCCTCTGAGACGCCCTCCCCCCTCCCCCTTCAACCCCCCTTCTGCGCGCGGCCGAGAGAGCGAGAGAGAGGAGGAGGAGGAGGAGGAGGAGGAGGAGGAGGAGGAGGAGGAGGAGGAGGAGGAGGAGGAAGAGGAGGAGGAGGAGGAGGAGGAGGAGGAGGAGGAGGAGGAGGAGGAGGAGGAGAGGAGGAGGGGAGGAGGAGGAGGGAGGAGGAGGAGGAGGAGGAGGAGGAGGAGGAGGAGGAGGAGGAGGATGGAGGAGGAGGAGGAGGAAGGAGGAGGAGGAGGCGGAGGAGGAGGAGAAGGAGAAGGAGGAGGAGGCCGTGCGGGCGAGCGGGCCCCCCCGTGCGCGCGCGCACCTCGGCCACCAGCGCCGCCGCCGAGCCGCCGCGGTGCTCCCGCCGGCCTGGCGCGCGCGCGCGGCAGGCGGCTCGCGCGCGCCGCAGGTCGAGGCCTTGCTCCCAGACCTCCTCCTCGTCCTCCTTCTCCTCCTCCTCTTCCTGCTGCTCCTCGTCCTCGTCCTCCTCCTCCTCCTCCTCCTCCTCCTCCTCGTACTCCTCCTCTTCCTGCTCCTGCTCCTCCTCGTCCTCGTCCTCCTCCTCCTCCTTCTCCTCTTCCTCCTCGTCCTCCTCCTCGTCGTCGTCAACGACGTCGTCGCCCGCCTACTCCTCATCCTCCTCCCACTCCTCCTCCTCTTGGCCTCCTCCTCCTGGCCTCCTCCTCCTCCTCCTCCTCCTCCTCCCGGCTCGCGCGTCGGAGGGACTACACTGCCCTGCAAAAGTAGCACAACTTCAACTGTCGTTGTGCCCTTTTTCGTTGCCTTCGTCTTTTCTAGTTTTCGGCATGGGGGGGCCGCATTCGGGCGCAGGTGCCATCAGAAACGCACCCCCGGATGAGAAAACGGCGAGGAACTCCCAGACGTGCTCACGACGGTTACACATAAAATCACGGCGGACCAATTTTGGTCGTTTTCGGCCTTTGGGGGCCCCCGCCAGGCGCAGTGGCCGTCGAGAAACGGCTCGGGATGAAAGGCTAGCGGCCCTGGGGAAAGGACTGGGTTTTTTTTTCTGAGGACCCCGCATTGACAAAACACCAATCGCATGCTTCGGTTGGGCTAGATCCTCGTCGCCGCGGCGACGGCACCGTCGTCGCCGTCGTCGGCTGGTCGCCCCCCCTGAGGGTCCAGGCCAGGGTTTCCCAAGATCTGCTCCGCCGAACTGGGGAGACCAGAAGGTACCGATACCGCTGCTCCAGGGACCTCTCCAAGTGTGGGTTCTGATCAGACGCTCGAGGCGGATCCAACCGTGGCGACGAAAGCCTCCGAGGAGGCCCAAACAGGTGAAGAACGGGCGAAGAGTAGCGGTATGGGTACTTGTCCCTTCTCTGGCGACTTGTGACTTGTGGACACCCACAGACCCTCCGAAACCGGGCATTCAGCGAGGGTGCTGGGCCCGGTCGACGCCGCCGTCGACTGAGGAGGAGAAACGATAGGAAGCAACTCCTAGGAGGCCTGCGCAGGAACGGAAAGGATCCGCCACCGCACCGCGAGGCACGAGCTGGAGTGGCCCCAAAGTCCTTTTTGATTACCAACCCCAACCTAACACGGAGACCCACATTTCGGGTTCGGGGGGGACGGGTTGCACATGTCTCTTTTTTCAATGTTCCCCGACGCCCCCCTCTCCCCCACTGGAAATGCATGGCAAATTGGGGCCTTCGGGTGGATTTGGGTGGTTTGGTGTGTGGTGACCTCTATAATCCTCAATCCTCTGTATTCAGGATTGAACATAAGGAGGCCTGGACCCCAAACGCTAAAACTTGACTGGGGGGCTCAAGGTGCCTCCCGCGGTTCCACGGCGTTTCCCGCTTGACTTTGTTGGAGCAAAGAGCGCCACACAACGAGCCAAGAGGAACCTGAGAGGCCTCTGACCTACAGACCAGGCGCGGAGGCGGGATGGGCCGAAGGCCAGTAGGTCCACCGCCGCCTGTTGCCTTGCCTCAGGGATGGCCGCCGTGCTGGACATTCTGAAAGGTTCTGAAAGACTCCCCCTGGAGCTTCGGCACAGCGCGCCGGCCACCCAGAAGATGGACTCCAAGACGGCCCAAGTGGCCCCCAAGTCTGCCCAAGATGGCCTCTTAGAGGCCCAAATGGGTCAAATATGCCTTGCAAGCAATCCAAGAAACCTCACAGACGGCCCAGGACGGCCCAAGAGTCCCCCACGAGGCCTTGAAGACGGGTAAAATGGCCTCCAAGAGGTCCTCCAGGAGGGCCTGAAGAGGCCTAAATCATTGATTTTCCTTTGGTGTTTGAAAGATTTGGGCATGTCAGTCTTTTCGGCCTTCCGACGGCACAAGACACCCGGAGAGGCCCCCAAGATCGCCCCCAGAGCGCCGAACGGGCCTCCAAAATGGCCCCATAACGGCCCAAGTGGCCCCCAAGATGGCCCAAGAGGGCACGACGACGGCCGCCAAGACGGCTTCCGACTGCGTCAGACGTGCCAGGAACCCCCCACGACTGCCAAATAGGCCCCCAAGAAGCTCCCGAATGCCCCCTAAGAGGCCCGAGGAGGCCTCCAAGACCCCAGGAAGCTCCCAGGGGACCCCAAGAGTGCCCCAGTGGGCTCCCGAGAAGCCTCCTCCTGTTTATACCCTCTCCTCGTCTTCTTCTTGTTCTTCTGCTGCTGCTGCTGCTTCTTCTTCTTCTTCATCATTCTGCCTCGCCCACGTGTTCTCCGAAGGGTTTCCACACCGGCGGGGGGAACAGATAGTCCGATGCATTAGCCGAGCCATGGCCACAACGTTCGACCGCATATGCGCTTCCATGAAGACAGGGGGCGGTGGTGATTCGCCGTAGGCGTCTTCGATCAGAAAACAACTCACGGAAGCTCTTGGTCGTCCCATGGCGCCCAGCAGCAAGGCGCTTCCAATTGCACTCACTAGCGCACGAAGCGGACGTGATGCATCTCCCTCATATGGCGCCATCGGGCGCTATTGGATGCTGTCTGGCGATACGCACTCAATGCTAGACGAGCGGAACTTCTGTGACTTGCTCTCCAAACTAGAAGGCATAAATCTAACAAACAGAAACACTTAAAAATAACATATGGCCAGATGAACCCCAATATTCAGCAAGATTAAGCGGGACTGAGCGGAACTAATAGTATTCTGCCAGATCCTGCGGGCTTTCGGCCACGGCTATACCAGCGCCGATGCTGAACTCAACATCCCAGGAGCTGCATCCTAACCCCCCACCCCACCCCCTCGCCGTGGACAAAACCACGACGGGAGCTTCTCGGCGGGGGCCCTCGCCGGGCCCCAAACCATCAACAACGACTCGGGATAAGAAGCCGGCCCACGTGGTGAAAAAATCACGACGTCGAGGGCCTGGGGGGAGGGAGGAGAATCTCAGATGCGGTGACACGCCGCACGATGACCTCGACATTGTCAACGACCTCACGGCACGGTCGGGTCCCGCACCGCCTCGGGACCATGGAGACACCGGCCGCCCGAGACGTCCTCGGAGAACGAACCGAGTCCGCACACCGTGGTGCCACCTCGAACCTCCACCGACTCACCACACGGTGTGATCACCGCACCATTTCGGAGCCCACGACGTTGTCGTCGACACAGCTGTTAAAATGCTGGGAGCGCAAAACATTTCGACGTCGACGACGACGAAATGTTGTCGTCGACGACGACGCATTCCTAAGCATTTCGAGCATTTGTTGTCGTCGACGCTGGAGCCTCTGGAGGCCTCCAGGAGCCTCCGAGGACTGCATGGACACCTCCAGGGGCCTTCATATGATCTCTGGGGACATTTTGGGCAGAGCGACGACCATGGGCCGCGGGAGCTGCGACAATAAGCGCAGCTGCTGCTGTTTTGTCGAGGGCAACATGCCTCTCTTCTCTGCCTCCCTCCTTCCGCCTCACTTGGATGATAATGGAAACGCTTGGTTGTTCCCGCTTTCAGGTAGACACTTGTTTGTTCGTCTTGGGGCCAATTGACATTTCTTTTCGTGTGGGGATTCTCGCTCGCGCAATTGTCGGATGAATTCCGTTCTGTACTGCCGTGTTGTGTTATGTTTTGGGCTGAAGCTTGTTGCTCCCGTCTCGGCTGACCGAGCATCGAAAAGTTGAGCACGGGCGAACACACGCCCACCCAGGCGCTTCTGACACCAACCACGCCGCCTCCTCCTCCTCTCCTCCGGCCTCCGACACGCCGATTGGTCCCCCGGGGCGCGGCGACCTCCGCCCGCGACGTTCTCGACCAGCTCGACCGACCGGGCGGAGGCCCCGCGCACCTGGCTGGGCTGCAGCAGCGACAGGCACATGTCCTCGGGGCAGGGGGCGTCGTGCGAAAATCTCGACGGACAATTGTTGACTCGTTTTCGGCCTCTGGGGGCCCACGCCGGGCCCAGGGCTACCGACAAAACGACTTGGGATGGAAAACTGGCCCCTTGGGGAAGGACCGAGCCGTATGGCAAAATAGCCATCGCATGTCTGGGACCACCACTGACGCGAGGAGAAACAGGGGGTCCTCCTGATGGTGCGGTCCCCTCATCCCTCATCCCTTCTCGAGACACCCCCAGTTCCCAAGCTCGGGGACGCATCCAGCGTGTGGTGCCGCTACTCTTTCTTCCGCTGGGTGGGCGGTCAGGTGTTTGACAACTTCTTGGCCTCTGGGGCACAAAGTCGCACTCTTGGCGACTCGCCGCGAACACAGTACAACGGCAGGCGTTTGGCGATGCTCGGCATCTGGGAGGCCTTCGGTCGGAAACTGTTGCTTCGTGTGTCGCGGCGGCAGGCCCTGCGACACGCTATGCCCTGCAAACTGATAGCGTGTCGCTCCGCTCAGGACGTTGATGCCTGTGGACTGGGGCACAAGAAGCGGGGAGAACGGGAAAAGCTTGGGACGTTAATGTTCGCAGGGCGGTGGGATGGGGAAAGCTCGGTTGCTGCCTAGGGACTGATCGCACATCGAGCCCCGGCAGCGTAAAAGAACGACCCAGGATGAAACGCGGGCCCCTAGGAAGGGTTCGAGACATGCAGGGGAACCACGATGTGGAGCAAAGACATGCAGTCAGACGCCTGTGGCAAGCGGAAGCCGTGGCTGTCGGCAAGCGGCCACCGTGGGCGGACAATATCAAAAGGCGACAACTATCGAGATCTGATGGTTTAGGTTTCGCTTGTAGGCGTTATGGCATGCCCAGGGCCGCCCGCGTTTTCACAGCTTTTCCTCACACTGGAAGACCTTGACCTCCGACGGCTCTGTGCAACCATCCACGCAGGCCCCCGAGCGCATCCGAAGGTCCCCTGGAGGGCACTGGAAGCGCGTGACGACTCCCTGGACGCCTCGGGAGGTCTAGAGTGGCCTCATGCAGCACCATTGGATCCGTTTGGATGCCGATGCAGGTCATCCGAAGTCCGATGCTGTGGCAAAGGAACCACTTGGATGCCCATGGAAGTCCCCCGAGATCCGACGCTGTGGGGCAAAGACTGGGGAAATCAAAAGGTACCGATACCACTACTCCCTGGACCTCTCTTGGGGTGCGTCCTGACCAGAATTTCGAGGCGAACCCAGCGGTGGCGACGACGGCCCCCCAGGAGGCCCAAAAAGGGGAAAACGAAGGAACGATAGAGGTATGGGTACCTTCTCCACTGAGAGACACCGTGCCGTGAAACGTCTGGCCTGGGCCCCTCGACCACCACTTCGGGCGCCGTTCGTGTTTCGGGCAGGGGTCCATCCGTGAGGCCACGGGGTCCCCCCCAAAAAGCTGTGGCGGTTGGCGCCAGCCGTGCTGTGCTCCCCGACGACGCCAGGACCCGACGCCCAGTCAGGGCTCGCACGCGGTCGCAGGGACGCGATGCACGTTGCCACCGGAGGGCGCTCAGGCTCGTGCCGGCGACAAGCGGGCGATTGGGGGTCGACGCGCTCTCCCCTGAGGCGATCCCCACCCGATTCTGCCTTTGCTTCTTGGGCCATGCCACGGGTCCCCCGCGGCCGGTCAGGACGATCTGGGCCCCCCATGGAGCGACCTCCGCGGGGGCCAGATGCGGCAGGAATCCGGACCGCGAGGGCGCGGACAGCCGCGAAGCTGTTCGCCTCTCGCGCGGAGGACGACGGAGAGGACCCCGAGAGAAGGGAGAGCCTCGGAAACCCGAGGGGGTCGGCGCGGTGCACTGCGCCGCGGCACGGCCGACGGAGGAGCGCGCGCGCGGGTGGGGTGCAGGGCGGCCTCGCCGTCGCTGGCCGGGACCTTCTCGAACAGGGACGCGGCGTCCTTGCGCGGGGCGCGGAGAGCAAACGCAGCAGCACGTGGCACCCCGCAGGTCGCGGGCAAGAGCGAGTGTGCGGGCGCGGGGTGGGTCCCGGAGCGCGGACCCCCACTGCAGCCACGCACCCAGGGGCAGCGCAAGACCGCTCGGCCCCCCCAGCTCTGATCCGAGTAGTTATCCAAGCTTCGCGCATCGCGCCCAGCGGTGCGCGGTGATCTTCGCGTCCTCGTGCCACCGCTCTGGGTAGGGCGGCTCTCCTGCCCAGATCGCGACGCGAGAAACGCGAGCATCTGATCAGAAGATCAATGTCGCGCGGGTCGGGCGACCCAGTCGGCGCGTAACTGTTGATATGGCGCCCGCCTCTTCAATACAAAGTGCGAATGAGTGACGCGCACAAGTTGGAAGACGACGAGCGTGTCACTGATGCTCTTTGCCATGTGCCCATCCTGAGGAAAGGGCGCCGGCAAGAGAGAATGAGGAACGTGAACTCCAGCGGAAACGAAGCGAAAGGGACTGGAATGACTGGAAGAGCGAAGGGCGGAAGGCGTGGATGGGGAAGCGGGCGCTAGCGAAAAGCGGGAGTGGATGCGGAGAGCATGGAAGCCCTCGCGAGAATCGGTCGCGATGGTTAGGGAAGCGCCCCACTGAAACTAGTTCAGCATTGAGTTCAGCACTCGCTGGGGACGTCAACTGCATGCGACGTAGCTTCACCTCGCGCTGCCGCTGCGAACACATGTTCTAGAACACTTCAAGGTTCTGAATACGAGGGTATTTCGGTGGATGCATGGACAATCGGGAGGACATCGCATTGCTTCGATTTCAGCTGAGCGAGACCTCGGAACAACATAACTACAAATGACTCATTGCATGCTTATCTCCATCTCTGCTGTATCTTAAGCGAGATACGTGGTGCTGACCAGCCAGCTTGGCAAGACGGTGCGGTGAGACCCCCCCGAAGCATGCCTGTCTGAAGCGTGGGACCTCGATGGAAAGCGGGCAACTCATGTGTCCCCATCTTCATCCATGCCACCCTGAGTGATGTTGTCCACTCCACGAGCGAACTTCCCGCGGGGCGCCTCCCCAGTCGTGCCCCGCGCTGCACAACATGCTGGTCACCAGCTGCTGGATACTAGCATGCTGGCCACCAGATGCTGATGCTGATGCTGACGGATTGCCGAAGTATTGCGTGGGCATCGCCTTCCCTATCTCAGGAACACGCCAGGGTAAGCCTCTCGGTGCCAACTTCCTCATCAAGCGCCCGCGCTCACGACTCCCTTGGTCCTCAACCTCCACCTCCGATCCTCCGTCTAAAACCTGCTTCAAGCTTTCAATCGGCGTCCGTTCTTGACTGACACCGCGTGGACCGTCCAAGCTTGAATGATCGCAATCTTGAGTGAACGCCCACGCTGAGGTCGCCGCCGCGCAAGCGAGGCGCGAGCCCGCCTACCCCAGCTCTTTCCAGCCCCGCAGGCTTCCCCAAACGAGGACGCTGCAGCAGGCCTACACCTGACCCAGCTCGCCGGCGACCCCCGCTGCCCGGCCCGCGGTCCCGCGCCTCTCCTCCTCCTCCTCCTCCTCCTCCTCCTCCTCCTCCTCCTCCTCCTCCTCCTCCTCCTCCTCCTCCTCCTCCTCCTCTTCCTCCTCAAAGGTGACGAGATCCACAGATGCCCACAGCCGCTGGCCAGACCCATGCTGGGCCCAGGGCCCGTGTGCACGCCCCCCTGGCTTGGCCAGGGAGGCATAGCCACTGCTCCTGAGCCCAGGATGAGCCTAGCCAGCGGCGGTGGACAAGTGACGGGGTCAAGAAGCCCTGAAACAAAGAATCTTGCCATCTCTCGGGAAGCCGAATGTTGCTTCGGCCTTCGTTTTGCGTCCGCCGCCTTCCGCCGGCCTGCTGCCGCCCTCCGCCGAGGAAGAGATATCAGGTCTTTCGACCATCGAAGGCGAGGACCCTTGCTGGAACGCCCCATGCATGGACCTCGTCGCCCTGTCCTAGCATCCGCGAGGTCGGCCTCCCGCCCCGCTCGGGCCCCGCTTGCTCCCGCTCCCTCCACCCCGCCCCGCTCGCCCCCGCGCTCCGCCCCGCTTGCCCCGCTCCTGGTAGGGGATATGTCGGCACCTGTCTCCGACCTCGTGAAAGACCCAAACTCGGGGATACGGTCGGGTACCTTTGGATGGCGTGTCGCGGCGGCGGCCCAGCGCCACGCTATGCTCCTCCTCCTCCTCCTCCTCCTCCTCCTCCTCCTCCTCCTCCTCCTCCTCCTCCTCCTCCTCCTCCTCCCCCACCCCGTTATAGAAGCAAAGGAAAGCGACACCACCACCACTACCACCTGGAACTATCAGCGGGAGGAGCCAGAAAATGGGGGGTACCCCTGGCGATGTGCCCCTCCTCCCCATCTCCCGTCCCGTCCCTAGCTCGGGGAGGCCTCGTAGGCCTCCCCTCGCTGGAGGTGGCCCTCCAGGTGATGGCGGTGCCGCTCTCCCTTTCCCCCCCAACCTGGCGCGCGAGACTGGCAACGCCAAGGGACCTCTGCGGCGCTCCGAGCGGCCCGCGCCCACCCCTCCGCGGCGCGCCCCCCGCGCAGCGCGCGAGAGGCCGCGGCCAGCGGTGACGACGGCGAGCAGGCCAGAAGCCTGCTCCGTGGGCCACGGAGGGCCCGCTCGGGGCCCCAACCCCGTGTGGTGACGGACCGCGTGGTGACCTCGTGGCCCCCAACGCCCTCTCGCCACGCAGTCAGCCACCGTCACGCTCGCTGGGGACCCTGAGGAGGCCCCGATCGCCCGAGACCCCCGCGGAGCACGGCCCGAGTCCACAAGCCGGCGACCCGGAATCCCCATCGACTCACCACGCGGTGTGGTCACAGCGCCGCTACGGGGGCCCCCGAAGCAGGTCCGGGAGAGGGCGGTCCGGAGCCGGAGAGGGCCGCGCGGCCTCGCCCGAAAATGCTGCGCCGCCGCACCTGGGCGACAGGACGCCGAACGGTCATTCACTGCCCCTGGGAGCGTGGATGAAGTAAGGTTCTGCGGTGCGTATTATTGTTGTTGCTGTTGCTGCTGCTGTTGCTGTTGCTGTTGTTGATGTTGTTGTGGTTGTGGTTGTTGTTGCTGTTGTGGTTGTGGCTATGGTTGCGGTTGTAGTTGTGGTTTTGGTTGTTGTACTTGTTGTTGTGGTTGTAATTGTTGTTATTGTTGTTGTTGTCGTTGTTGTCGTTCTTGCTGCTGATGTCGTTGTTGGGTCGCGGGGTGGGTCGCGGGTTGGGTCGCCGGGTGGGTCGCGGGTGGATCGACGGGGGAACGACGACAACAAGCAACAACAACACCACCACCAACAACAACAACAGCAACAACGACAACGACAACAGCATTAACAACAGCAGCAACAACAACAACAACAACAACATCCACGACAACGCAACAAACAGACGCATCACAACGGTTTCTCACTTCAGTCATGCACCCAGGGACAATGCATGACCGTCCGGCCTCCTCACTAAGATATGCATATGTATTTATCAGTATATGTATACTACAGGTATGTATGGGTATAGGACATATGTGTATCATTAATGTATGCATGAGCATACATGTAGATGTACGTGTGTAGACACACAATTGTCCTTCTCCTGGGCCCGGCCATGTCCATGTACACCGCCTGTCGGAGTTCCGAGGAGGAGTCCCCTAGTCGAGTGTCGATCCCCCAGGCGGTGGTTATGGGTAACTCCCCGCCTCGGACTCTCGACTCTCGGCCCTGCCCCCCTACTACAATCCCCGTAGCGGGAGAGTCCAGCGTGAAGCGGCGGCCGGCGACGTCGATGGTCAGCGCGATCTGCGCTTGCTTCAAGATGTCCCAGACCTGAGCCGCTCCCAGCCCACGCGGCGGAAGCCGCATGGATCGAGGCATTTGGGCGCCATGACAAATCCATGTGTGGGACCCCTGGAGGAGGAGGAGGAGGAGAAGGAGGAGGACGAAAAAGAGGAGGAAGAGGAGGGGTAGGAAGAGGACGAGTGGGAGGAGGAGGGCGAGGAGGGACGAAAGGGATAGACAGAAGGAGGGACGAAGAGGAGCAAAGAAAAGGAGGAACATGAACGAGGAGGGTGAGCAGGGTCATCGGCCGCCAGCGTCCTGAGGGCTGCAGTCCGCAGCGAGAGAGAGAGAGAGAGAGAGAAAAAGAGAGAAATAGAGAGAGAGAGAGAGAAGGACCAAAAGAGAGAGTAACCAAACAATAGAAACGGAGAGGGGCAACAACAGCCAAACAACCGACCGAACGGTCACGACGAACACCGACCGCAGAAACGAAGGGGCACACCTAACGTAATGGCCAAGCTCACGCTTTCAACCCTGACATTTGTTCCCCCCTCACTCAAAACAGCAGTAGAGGCATGCTGCCCTCTCTAGATTAATGTTCAACTTACTTGGCAGCTTCAACTCTATGTGGAACCGGGTACAACCTGCATTCTGAAGTATACGCATACACGTATATCAGGGAAACCATAAGTAATACCTATACGACCACCCTTCGGATGAGAAGGTCGGGGGAGGAGGGGAAATAACCAACTGCTGACAACTGCGATGGGTGTGATGATGACGATGCTGGTTTCGCGCCTTCGAGTTGGCGACGACACGATTCGCGCAGTGTCGATCTCTCTCGACCGATTTCGCTATCGATTTGAAATTCGATACCTAAATCGATCTTAATCGACCTCACAATCGAGCTCACAATCGGTCACACTATGGACATCATGATCGATGTCGGAATCGATCGCATTATCGACCTTATTATCGATTGCCCTATCGAAACAACTACTGGCCTCACTATCGATCTCACTGCCGCTCACGCGATCGCTGCGACTACCGATCCCACTCTCGACCTCGCTATGTATTCAACTACCGATCTCACTACCCATCTCACCACATTTCGGTCGTTATCGCCTGTGGGGCCGTCTTTGGGAACTTTTGGAGTGGGTTGGGGCGCTCTCGGGGGCCTTTTAGGCAATGTTGGTGCGATCTTGAAGGCCTCTGGGGCCGCCTTGGAGCGTCGGAAAGCCGCACAGGCGAAAACGCGAAAATCAATTTAAACCGATGCGTCTATATACATATAGTTAAATATGTATGTATGGATTAGAACCACGCGCGCGCGCGCTACGCGCGCGCTTAGGTTCTCGTCAACTCCTCCCCCTCCTCCTCCTCCTCCTCCTCCTCCTCCTCCTCCTCCTCAATTTCCTCCTTTTCTCCTCCTCCTCCTCCTCCTCTTCCTCCTCCTCGTGAGCGATATCTGCATCCGCTCGTATGGCCGGCAGGCGCAATCCCGGCGTCGACGTCGTCGTCGGCGTCGTCGCCGCCGTCGTCGTCACAGTCGCGGGTGGGGGAAGGGGAAGGAGAAAGAAGGAAAGGGGAGGGACGGAGGCAGGTAAGGAAGAACGGAAGCAGACAAGCAGGAAATAGCAAAAAGGCAGAGGACGGGAAAAGGAGAGAGGATGGATCAACGGATGCGCACGGATTCCTCCCCCTCCTCCTGCCCCTCCTCCTGTTCCTCCTCCTCCTTTTCCTCATCCTCTTCCTCCTCGTCCTCCTCTTCCTCCTCCTCCTCCTCATACATCTACATCATCCTTCTCATCCTCGTTTGCCTCACCATCGTGCTCTGCCTCCGCGCTCCTGGCAGCATCGGAGAGCCTTCTCTGGGCCTCCTGGGAGCTTCTCTGGGCGAGGGATTATGAATGTCGGTGCACGCTCCCCCTGTGGAGACCATCTTGGGGCCGTCTTCAGGGCCTCGGAGGCCGTCTCGGGCGCCCCTGGGGTCGTGAAGGAGCTCTGATAGGCCGTTCCGGGTCCTCCTGGGCGCCCGTGGGCTCGTCCTGAAACTGTGCTGGAGGCCGCTGGGCCGTCGTGGATTGTCCGAAGCTGGAAGAAAGGGGGAGCCCGAACACAGTGAAAAATCCGGCCCGGGGCCCTTCTGGTGCCTTCTTCAAGCCTCGGGGGAGCTTCAGGAGGCGGAGAACTCGAAACTTCGGTTCATGCCCTTCCTCTGGAAGCCGTCTCCGGGCCGTCTTGGGAGCCTCGTGGGCCGTCTTGGGCGCTTCTGGGGGCGTCATGGAACCCTGCCAGGGCGTCCGGGGGCCTTCTCGGGGGGCGCCAGGCCCGTCCTGAGGCGGTGTCGGGGGCCTTGTGTGCCGTCGTGGAGTGTCAGGATGTGGATACCGAGAGGGTACCGAAAACATTGAAAAACCCAAGCGCAAATGATTATTGTGGCTTCTGGAGCCTGCCCAGGGCCGTCCTGGCGCCTCCTGGAGGCCTCCGAGAAGCTGCCTGAAGGGAAAGATTCAAGGTTTCCCCCTGGATGCCATCTTGGGGCCGTCTTAAGGGCCTGGTGGGCCGTCTCGGGCGTCCCTGGGGGCGTCATGGAGCCCTGCCAGGCCGCCCCCGGGGCTTCCTGGGGGCCGCTGGGCCCGTTCTGCGGCGGTGATGGTGGCCTCGTGGGCTATCGTGGAGTGTCAGAATGTCGACAAAGAGAGGGCACCGAAACCATGGAAACACATTAGCAAAGTCAATGATGTTTGCCTCCTGGGGTACTCGTCTGGGGCCTGGAGCGCCCAATGAAGCTTACACCGGGCCGTCCTGGCGCAGCTTGGAAGCCTTCGGAGGCCGTTCAGAAAGCATTTTCGGTGCTCTCGGGGTGTGCTACACCGTGCGACCACGAGGCCCTCCGTGCGACGAGGCCACTTGAGGCACCACGAGCGGGCCCAGGGAGCACCTGCCTTATTAAGCGGCACCCAGGGCCGGTATATTCAGTCGCCTTTTTCCAAAGGGGGGCAGGCTGGAATATGAAGGCGGTTTCGCGTGACCGAACCGAAGGGGGGGCCGGAGAATTATGGCGCTTTTTGATTTGCCATTTTGGACAAGAGGTTTGACATTGACTTTCAAGGTGGCATCTAACAAACTGAACATATCTTTCGAGACAGCACTCGACGGCGATCATGATGACGGTCGTGATGACGGTCGTGATGCGTTCCATCAGGTGATTCTAGTTGTGCGTTTCACCGCAATCGCAGCCGTTATATTTTTGTGCGTGTGTGTTGCGTATAGTTGTACAGATATGTCGCCTGCACCACAGCATCACATGCACCATCGTGGTGTTCATCGTATTGATCATGATTGTTGTCGACGTCGCACCGGCAGCGTTCTCATCACCAATGCATTCCCCACTGTGTAACCACAGCCCCATCATGTCCACCAACTTAAATACAACGATCAACTTTCCCCGAAAGGGGGTCGGAATATTAAGGCGCCTCCCGTGGAGGGGGGCCGGAATATTAGTGTGCCTAAGCAGTGGGGGCCGGTATTTTTTTTGGGGGGGGGCGATGATAAGGGATTTGGAGTACCTGTGGTCCCGGTTCCAGGCCCTCCCGAAGCCTACTCCGATCTCTCTCTCTCTCTCTCTCTCCCTCTCTTTGTTTTCTCTCTCTCTCTATATATGTGTGTATGTGTGTATGTAGATATGTATGTATGTCTGTCTGTCTGTCTGTGTGTCTGTCTGTCTCTCTGTCGGTCTGTCTTTCTGTCTGTCTGTATGTATGTATGTATGTTTGTCTGTATATATGTATGTATGTATTTATGTATGTATGGATGTATGTATGTATGCATGTATGTATGTATGTATGTGTGTATGTGTGTGTATGTATGTATGTATGTATGAATGTATGTGTGTATGTGTGTATGTGTGTATGTGTACATATGTATGTATGTATGTATGAATGTATGTATGTATGTATGTATGTATGCATGTATGTATGTATGTATGTATGTATGTATGTATGTGTGTATGTGTGTATGTGTGTATGTGTGTATGTATGTATGTATGTGTGTGTATGTATGTATGGATGTATGTATGTATGTATGTATGTTTGTATGTATGTATGTATGTATGCGTGTATGTACGTACACATATATGCATGTGTATGTATCCATACACACTCATATATTTATAGACATGCATATCTAGTTCCCTAGACGCAGTAAATCTACATACATACATACATACATGCATACATACGCACAAACATACATACACACATACATACATACATACATACATACGTACGTACGTACGTACGTACATACATACATACATACATACATACATACATCCATCCATACATACATACACACACATACATACATACATACATACATACATACATACATACATACATACATACATACATACATACATACATACATATGTACATATGTACATATACACATACGCACGTACATGCATACATACATACATTCATACATAACACTTACACACACACATAAATATATATATATACACATAGATTTATATGAATTTGAATAGTACGGGGGCCTCGGGGAGGCCTCGTGAGGGCCTCTTGGAGACCTCGTGGGGGCCCCTCGGAGGCCTCGTGGGGGCCTTGCGGGGGCTTCTTGGGGGCCTCTCGGGGCATCCTGGGGGCCTCTCTGGGCCGAGGGCTCAAAATGTCCATTCGGGCCCCCCGTCTGGACCTTCTCTGCAGTCGTCTTGGTGGCCCCTATAGGGCCGTCTTGGAAGCCTATTAAACCGTCTGGGAGCCCTCTCGGGGCCGTCTTGGAGCTCTCTCGGAGCGTCGTGGGGAGCCGCTTGGGGACTACTTGGGCGTCCTTGGAGGCGTCTCGGACCGCTCTGGAGCGTTGGGAAGCCGACAAGGAGAGAAAACACAATTCCTTGGCACATAAATTTTAAACAAACCTTGGAGCAATGATCGACTTCTGCCTCGTCGGAGGCCTCGTGGATTTCAGTTGGGGCGTCTTGTAGGCCCCCTGGACAATCTGGGGCAAATTCTGGGCAATCTGGGTGCGTCGTGGGCCCTGTTAGCAGTCTCGAATTGCGATGTCAAGCGATCTGGGGCCCTCCTCGGGCGGTCTTGGAGGGCCTCCGGCGAGAGGTCGGCGAGAGGTCCTTGCCCGGGGCCCCTAGACCCAGTCCCCCGTTATTAAATGTATTCTAGAACCACGCGCGCCCCGCGCGCGCTCAAGACCTCCCCCCCCCATTTATCCGCCTGACGCTCCTCCGCTCCGCTTTCGTTCAAATCCGCTCAACACACCTCTCTCCTCCCCTTTGCTCTTCATCCCCCCTCTCCTGACCTTCGTTCACCCGCCGCTTCCCTCCTGCCCCTCCCCCTCCTCCTCCATGTCTTGGAAGGCCAGCGCTGAATCCTGCACCGCAGTCTTATTTCTATTCTTCTTCTTCTAATCATTATTACTATTCGTATTCTTCTTCTTCCATTGACCGACCGACACCACCTACGGCGCATATAGGTTTACAGACAATACGGGTGCCAAAATAGTCCACATCACCCGACATTGTTTTCCAAGCAACGCCTGCAGGGAACACACGACCACCTGTGTGGCTGGCAACATGCTTCGGCACGATCAGCCACGTGAGACGACGTCGCACTGTTCGCGAAAGTACTTGTCAATGAAAACGACCTCATTGAATGGCATCGCGGTGTGCAGGCAGATGTGAATTGACACGCTGCAGACGCCTACACATAAGCACAAGCGGCCGCTCCAGACCTTTGTCTGGAAAGCCTTGCGTCTAGAAGGAGGAGGGCGAGGAGGAGGAGGAGGAAGAGGAGGGTCGGGGGAACGCGTGGAGCTGATGCAAAGAGGTAGGGAGAAACTGAAGGGCATGGGATGCTGAGCAGCCCTCGGATTCTGCGAACACACCCACCTATACGGCTGGCCACGTGAGACAACTTCGCAATACCGGCATCTCCACTGGAAACGCGGGACACTAGAGGGGGAACATGTCGAAGGAGGAGTGGGGCGCGCGCTAGGTTCTATAGTCACCTCCGACGAGCTTTTCAAACAAGAGCGAGGTGACTCTGGCCTCTTGGGCCGTCTCAAGCTCCTCCGAGGCGCTCTTGAAGCCGTCCGTTGGGCCGTCTTGGCGCCCACGTCTTGGGCAATTCTGGGCCCCTTTGGGCCGTCTTGGGCGTCTCTTTGCATCGTCTCGTGGCCGCCTTGAGCCCATTAAGGGCAATCTTGGGCCGTCATGCGCCTCTCTGGGGACCATATTGGGGCATGTTGGGGCCCTCTTGGACCTTATTTGGCTGTACTTGGACCGTTTTTGGCGCTCCCTTTCCGGGCCGTCTCGGGGAAATGTGGGGTGCCTCCTGGGCCACCTCGGATGCTCTGAAGGCAAAGAAAGCGAGCACACTAAAATCACTGAACAACAATTGGGAAATAATTGATTTTCACCTCTCGGAGGCCTCTTAAAGATACTCGTGAAGCGATCTTGGCGAGTCCTGGGCCGTCTTGGAGGCGTGTAGACGCGCGTTGGGCGCCATATTGGGTCGTCTGCGACACGTCTTGGCCACATTGGGTCGGCTGCGACACGTCTGCCTCCCGGCGCCGTTTGGATGTCGAAATCGTGACTTCGACTACCCTTGAAGCCGATATAACCTCCCAGAGCTTCTAAAAAGAGCCCTGGACCCCCGGGTGCTAAATTGTGTGCCCAGGGGGTGGCCCTATTGAACATTGTGTGCCCGCAGGGGGAACACAACATACCTCGACAAACCACGGAAAACCGTTGATGTTTGCCCCTTGGAGCCCTCTTGGGGTGCCTCGCGGAACGCTCCTGAAGCGTCTCGAAGACGTTGCGGGCCGTCTGGAAGCGCTTCTGGGTACATCCTGAAAGGACTCTTGAGGGCCTGCTTTGTTCGTGCCACGCGGCCTCAGAGCGGCCCCGAACGCTGCTGAGGGCGACCCTGGCGGCGAGGCCGGCGGCGCAACGGGCCCGCGCGCCCCGCGGCGCAGCTCCCTGGAGACGGCGTCAGCTGGGCGGTGACAGGCCCCTGCCAGCTACACTTCAATACTCGTTTGTGCAATGCCCCTATGATCGTGAGGTGTCTGCGCCCATGATTCAGGGTGTGGCATGACCCTGTGGCTGGTCAAACATAAACCTTCCAAATGTGTCTCGGTGCGTTCTCGGGCCGTCTTGGAGATCTCTTGAGCCGTTTGGGGGGCCTCTTTCGCCGTCCCGGTGCCCACTTGGGAGTCTCTGACCTGGCTCGGGGCGATTCTCGAAGCCCCTGACGTCGCGAAAAGAAGCATGAACACAAACAGAAAATCCCAACCCTGTACGAATGCTTGTTGCCTCTTGAGTTCCTCTGGGGGTGCTCCTTGAAACCCTCTTGGGGCGTCCGGAGGTATGGGCCGTCTAGAAGCGTTTCTGGGGACCCCCTGGGAGGACTCTTGGGGGCCTGCTTGGTTCGTGCTCTGGGACTCTGAAAGACTCTGGGAGTCCCAATGCGCGGAGATGTTTGAATCCTGGTTCGAGCTCCCCCTCTGGGGCCGATCTTTGGCGGTTTATGATGTGTTTTCGGGCCGTCTGAAGAATTGTCGTTTGTACCATGCCCCTATGATCATGAGGTGTCTGCGCCAATTGGTCAGGATTTGGCATGGCAGTGTGGCTTTTCAAACTTGGGCCAATTCAAATGTACCTGGCGGGCTCGTTGAGTCCGCAGGCATGTTAGTGAAACTAAGAAGCCATGTCCACGCCGCTCGGGGAGAGTTGACGTGGCAAGGTTGGTCGGAAAGTGTGAGCTTGATTATATGTGCCTAGCGAGCTAGTTGAGCCCACACGCGTCTTCGTAGAACTTGCAAGCCTGTCTTCGTGTCCCATGCACAGGGGGGGTGCTGTGCCCAACAGTTAGTGGTTGGCGCGGCACGGCTGCTTACAACATCTGAAAATGATCAACGTGCGCGTATGGAGCGACACCGCGGGTACAAACCCTGTGGAATCGGCGACGAGAGCTCCTAGTCTTCCGACTTGGACAGCTCGCGCTTCCTTATTTCCAGGCATCTGCGCGAAGTTCTCACCTCCAAGCGTCGCACTGGACGCGGCCAGACGCTGGCAAGACAGCTCGGCACCCTTCCATCTCACCTCACTGGCGACTACTAGCAGCTTCCAGCCGGGTAGTACGACTGAGCCGTTTGGGGGGGCTCTTGGGCCGTCCCGGCGCCCAATTAGGAGTCTCTGACCTGGCTCGGGGCGATTCTCGAAGCCCCTGACGTATGCCTGTAGCGCTGGTTCGCGAAAAGAATCATAAACAAAAGAAGAACATCCCATCCCTGTACGAATGCTTGTTGCCTCTTGAGGTCCTCTGGGGTGCTCCTTGAAACCCTCTTGCAGCGTCTGGAGGGCGTTATGGGCCGTTTTGAAGCGCTTCTAGGGACCTCCTGGGAGGACTCTTGGGGGCCTGCTTGGTTCGTGCTCTGGGGACTCTTGAGGTCCCAGTGCGCGGAGATGTCTGAATCTTGGTCGATCTTTTGCGGTTTCTGATGTGTTATCGGGCCGTCTTGGAGATCTCTTGGGCCAGCCGTTGGGGGGGCCCGGCGCCCGCTTGGGAGTCTCTTAGGCCGTCTCGGGGCGTTTCTCGGGGCCTCTGACGCAGTCCTGGAGCGCTGGGTCGCGGAAACAATCATAAGCACACAAGAACGCCCCCAACCAGCGGAAAACAAATGATTGTTGCCTCTTGGGGTCCTCTGGGGGTACCCCTTGAAACCCTCTTGGAGCGTCTGCAGGCTCTCGTGAAGCGTTTTGGTGGCGCTTTGGGTCACCCGGAAGACATCAAGAGCGTCGGGAACATATTTTTCTGCGACTCGAGCCCTCTTGGGCGGTCTGGGGCACCCCTGGGGGCGTGTCAGAAGCCTTGTAGGACGGGCCCGGGCCCTCGGCACCACCATGCGCTGTCGGGCACTCGACCCATGGCCGTCTTGAGAGCCTCCTCTGCCGCCTTGGGCGCTGTGAAAGCCCAAGAAACGAATATGCGATGGATATTCTCATCGTCCGCGCACTCCTGGCTCTGCTGCTTCCATTCTGTGTACTACCGAGGAAAAGGAAAGGAAAGGATGAAGGGGGCGTGCAGAGGAGGAGGAGGAGGAGGAGGAGGAGGAGGAGGAGGAGGAGGACGAGGACGACGGTCGCACCGCCGATTCCCAAACAGCGCTTGCCTTACGCCGCGCAGACATAAACGTTTTCCCAGCGCCACTCGGCAGGTTGGACACTCCTGTGCGGCGTTCCGGGGATGTCTCCTTGGAGGCTTTTTGAAATCAGTTTGGATGCCACTCGGGGCATCTTGGGAGCCTCACTGGGGCCTCTTCTAGGCCGCCTGGGGGGCCTCTTGGGGGCCTCTCGGCGGCCTCGGGGGTCAATCTTGGGGTGGGAGGCTCGGAATCTCAGCTCGCGTTCCCCGTCGTGGACTGTCTGAGGGCCATCCTGAGCCATCTTTTGCCGTCTTGGGGCCTCCTTGGGGTCCTCTTGGGCCGTCCCGGGGCGTTTTGAGGGTATCTTGGGCTGTCTTCGACGCGGCGAAGACTGAAACAAATGAATGTAATGGAAATAGCTCTTTTTCCCAACGTTGGACAATTTTGCGGCCTCGCGAGGCCGTCTTGAGGAGCCTCATGGGGCTCTCTTGTGGCTCCTGGGGCGCCTCGTGGGCCGTCGGAATGTCACGTGCAGCCGTCTTTTGAGAGCTCTTGGGGCAGGCTGGGAACCTCTTGGGAGCCTCATGGGCGCCCGTGGGCTACCTTGCACGCTCTGGGAGCGATCTCGAGCCGTCTCGGGGTCTCGCGGGGCCGCCCAAAGAGCGCGCCTGGGCGGGGGGGCACCGTCGAAAAAAGTTGGGGGCCGGCCCGGGGCCCCGGGGCCGGGATCTCCCATATATGCACACTAGAACCACGCGCGCGCTTCGCGCGCGCTTAGGTTCTGTCGAGTCACAGACCCAGGAATCGCTGCGAGAAGAAATTGGTGACGCGAAGCGTCTTGGGGGCGTCCTTGGACGTCTGGGGTCTCCTGGGGCCTCTTGAGGGGCCTCCTGGGGGCCTCCTGGCGGCCTCTTGGGGCGGAAGGCTCGAGCTTGCGGTTCGTGGTCCCCCTCTGGGCCCCCTCTTGGGCCCGTCTTGGGGCCCTCTTGGGCCATCTTGGGCGCCTCTTGGGCCGTCTTGGGGCCCTCTTGGGCTGTCCTGGGGCCCTCTTGGAAGCTTCTTGGGCCGTCTTGGGGCGGTCTTGGGCGCCTCTTGGGCCGTCCTGTAACGTCGGAAAGCCCAAAAGGCGACTTTGTTGAAAATGTACGTTTTACGAAGGGAATGGGCCAATTTTTGCGTCTAGGGGCCCTCTTGGGACGCATGTTGGAGGCTTCTTGGGGCGTCTTGGGGGCGTCCTTGGACGTCTGGGGTCTCCTGGGGCCTCTTGAGGGGCCTCCTGGGGGCCTCCTGGCGGCCTCTTGGGGCGGAAGGCTCGAGCTTGCGGTTCGTGGTCCCCCTCTGGGCCCCCTCTTGGGCCCGTCTTGGGGCCCTCTTGGGCCATCTTGGGCGCCTCTTGGGCCGTCTTGGGGCCCTCTTGGGCTGTCCTGGGGCCCTCTTGGAAGCTTCTTGGGCCGTCTTGGGGCGGTCTTGGGCGCCTCTTGGGCCGTCCTGTAACGTCGGAAAACCCAAAAGACAACTTTGTTGAAAATGTACGTTTTACGAAGGGAATGGGCAATTTTTGCGTCTAGGGGCCCTCTTGGGACGCATGTTGGAGGCTTCTTGGGGCCTCTTGGGGGCGTCCTTGGACGTCTGGGGTCTCCTGGGGCCTCTTGAGGGGCCTCCTGGGGGCCTCCTGGCGGCCTCTTGGGGCGGAAGGCTCGAGCTTGCGGTTCGTGGTCCCCCTCTGGGCCCCCTCTTGGGCCCGTCTTGGGGCCCTCTTGGGCCATCTTGGGCGCCTCTTGGGCCGTCTTGGGGCCCTCTTGGGCTGTCCTGGGGCCCTCTGGGAAGCTTCTTGGGCCGTCTTGGGGCGGTCTTGGGCGCCTCTTGGGCCGTCCTGTAACGTCGGAAAGCCCAAAAGGCGACTTTGTTGAAAATGTACGTTTTACGAAGGGAATGGGCCAATTTTTGCGTCTAGGGGCCCTCTTGGGACGCATGTTGGAGGCTTCTTGGGGCCTCTTGGGGGCGTCCTTGGACGTCTGGGGTCTCCTGGGGCCTCTTGAGGGGCCTCCTGGGGGCCTCCTGGCGGCCTCTTGGGGCGGAAGGCTCGAGCTTGCGGTTCGTGGTCCCCCTCTGGGCCCCCTCTTGGGCCCGTCTTGGGGCCCTCTTGGGCCATCTTGGGCGCCTCTTGGGCCGTCTTGGGGCCCTCTTGGGCTGTCCTGGGGCCCTCTTGGAAGCTTCTTGGGCCGTCTTGGGGCGGTCTTGGGCGCCTCTTGGGCCGTCCTGTAACGTCGGAAAGCCCAAAAGACAACTTTGTTGAAAATGTACGTTTTACGAAGGGAATGGGCCAATTTTTGCGTCTAGGGGCCCTCTTGGGACGCATGTTGGAGGCTTCTTGGGGCCTCTTGGGGGCGTCCTTGGACGTCTGGAGGCCATCTTCAGCATCTCGGAGCCCTCTTGGAGGCCTCTTGGAAGTTTCTTGGGCCGTCTTGGGCGCTTCTGGGGCCGTCTTGTCTGACCGGGGAGGCCTCCGGCAAGCCCCGACGAGCCTCCGGGCCCCCCGGGGTGCACATTTGTGGTCGAGGTCCCGGCCCCGGGCCCCCGGACCCGGTGCGCCGTTATATGCACATGTGATGCGATCGCCAAGGGCCTCAAAGTGAAAAGTTCAAACCGTAAACCCGGTAAGATTCAGAGCCGAGCTTCCCGAACCTAGTTCGGGACTGCAAGCGCGAGAGCGTCAGATGGGATCTCTCTCCCCATCCTCCTCATTCTTTATCCTGCTGTAAGCTCAAGGTGCCGCCCCGGTTGCCCCAGGCGGCCCGCAGTGCCGCCTTCGCCTGCTCGCCGACGCCGTTCCGCTGCAGGAATAAAGTCTCCAAAGCCGGCGCGGAGGGCAGCGCCCCCGCCAGCGCCTGCGCGCCGTCGTGCCCGATGCCGTTGTCGAAGAGGTTCAGCTTCTTCAGGCCAGGCATGGAGGGCAGCGCCTGCGCCAGGGCCTGCGCGCCGCCGTCGCCGATGCCATTGCTGCCCAAGCTCAGCTCCTGCAGACTGGGCACTGAGGGCAGCGCCCCCGCCAAAGCCTTCGCGCCCGCGGGGCCGATGTTGCAGCCCCGCAGGTCCAGCTCCTCCAGGCGGGCGCACAGCCGCAGACAGCCGGCGAGCCCCGCGGCCTGTTCGGGGGTCGGGGGCGACATCCCGTCGAAGTCCAGCTTCGTCACGCCGCCTAGCTGCGCGCGGCTCATCCGGCGGAAGAGCGCCTTCACAGCCTCCCGGTCCGCGCCGTTGGTGAAGAACCTGTCCTCGATGAGCCTGTCGAACTCGTCTGGGCCAACCGGCCAACCCCTCCCGGCCGTCGTCGCCCCTGCCCCCTGCCCCAGGTCGGCCACGGCGTCCCAGTTCGCCTCATAACGGTAGACCTGCTTGATCTGCTCCGCGGAGCAGCGCTCGTACGTCGTCCAGCCGGACTGGTCGTAGCCGCACTCGCGCGCGCTGCCCCGCTCGCGGGGGTGCTGGGTGAGCAGGAGGACGGTGGTGGCCTGGTGGGCGTACCAGAGGTCCATCGTCTCCTGAAGCCCATGCTTGAACGCGGCCTTCTCGGCGGGGGTCCGCTTGGCCTCGTCCGCGGCCTCTTGCGCGTCCTTCTCGGTTTTGCCCTGTTGCAGGGCTGCGGCCTTCGCCTTCTCGGCTTTGTCGGGGTCGCCCTGCAGCAGCGAGGGCCAGTCCCAGAAGACGCCCATCTCGCTGAACCCCTTGAAGGAATTTCTGGCTCTGGAATATTTGCGGCTCTCTTTCTCAAGCGTGTCTATTCTCCCGCTCGCGCGCTAGCGAGCTGTCTCCGAGCGCGGCCGCGGCTCGCGCGCGCGGGGCGGCCCAAAATGGGCAGGCCCGTCCCGCGCGCTCGTGCCGGGGCGCCGCGCGTCAGGCGGGGGAGACCGCCTGCTCGCCGACGACGGCGAGGCAGCGCCCATCAGCCTTAGATTGGGAGAGGAGGGAGGGGGGCAGAGAAGCTGCGGAGACAGCAGGAGCTTGCTCACAGAGAATAGAAGAGGCATTCTCCCGCTCGCGCGCTAGCGAGCTGTCTCCGAGCGCGGCCGCGGCTCGCGCGCGCGGGGCGGCCCAAAATGGGCAGGCCCGTCCCGCGCGCTCGTGCCGGGGCGCCGCGCGTCAGGCGGGGGAGACCGCCTGCTCGCCGACGACGGCGAGGCAGCCATACCCGTGCTCAAGGACCTTGCGAAGTGACAAGGTTTCGGCGGGCGGCCGCAAGTAGGGCAGGCCAAGCGGCGGGGCCGACTTGGAGAAATGAAGCGACAAGGCGGTCGCTGGCGGTGGCGAAGAACAGGATCCGCGCCCGTGCGGGCACGGGCAGCGCAGCAAGAACTGTGGAAGCGGCGGCGGCTTGCAGGTAGCGCTCAGCACTGGAAGCCTGACGCCAACGCCCCCGCCAGAAGACGCGAGGGACGTCTTCCGTAGCGATATAGAAGTCTGTTGCGCCAGAGCCCCGCAGACATGCGGGCGTCAGGTTGAGCCCCTGACCCGCTTTGGCAAGAGGGACGCCCAGGGCCGAAAGCAAATGATTCCACCGAGTACGGAAGCCGCTCGCACCGAAAGGGGCGAGAGGATCGGTGGAAGCCAACCGCCCAAACACTTGATTCAGAATCTTCACCGTGCCCCGATCGGAGCAGCGAGCATGCTGCGTCGGGTACGTTCTCCTGGTCTTTGGAACAAGAATCGAAAGAAAAGCATCCCCTTCAACTTCGAGGCGGTCGCAAGGAAGCGACAAGTCACAGCGGCGTGACGCCAGCAGCTCGCCAGGCCTGAGGAACATCGTAAAGCCCATGAGCAGCAAGGCCGCCATCACAGGCCAGTCCCAGGCGAAACAGAGACCGACCATAGCGCGCAGCAGAGCGCGAGGTAAGGGCGGGCGGAGCTTTGGCGGCTCCGCGAGCTTCCATTGTTTCGCTACGTCCCAAGCTTCTGTTAGAAAGGCCTTCCAATGCGGATGAGCGCTCTGGATTCCCAAGATGGCATGAACCAGAATATAATGAGGGAAACCTGCATCATGAAGCCACACGCCGAAGGTCGCGAGGAAGCGGGCGAGAAGTATCCCGCTACGGTAAAGAGTGGCGGGCGGCACGCCAGTGTGTTCTGCTAACCACAGTTCGAACGCATCAATCGATCTCGAGCGACGATCGAGATACGCGGAGGTGAGGTGAGAATCGCGCACGAAGGGGGTGCGCGGAGGGCGAGCGGGCGCGGAAGGCGCAGCCCGACTAAGCCCTTGGCCTGCGGTCGGCGCCGCGGCTCCCAGAGAGATGCAGAGGCCGCAGACGCACCACAGGATGAGCGCAGGGCGGCCAGGGCTGGGAGAGCTGATCAGCGTGGCGGCCCTCCTGCTCCTGGACGCGTAGAAGGGCGGAACGAGGGTGTCCCGCCCGTCGGTCTCGAACCCCGACGCCTCCGCCAGCATCGCCCGCGCCGAGGTGAAGGATCCGCCCATGTTACGGTGAGCACGGCGAGCCCCTGCTTCGATCTCGGCGGGCAGAGCGTCCCTTCCCTCGAGGGTCGCCCAGTCAAAGGGCGGGCGCGGCTCGGCGCGCGCAGCTGCGGCCGATTCGGCGAGCTCGGAACGAGCTGCCGAGGACGTGAGGCCCGAATGATGTGGAACGGGCACCACCTCCGCGAACGCGTCGAGGATCTCGGACGGAGGGGAATGAGATCCCCACAGCGCTGCTGGGATGGCGCCGTGACCGTCCTGCACGTGGTACAGAAGGTCGAAAAGGCAGGCCAACTTGCCCGCGCGCCTCCTGTGCTCGATCTTTGAGCCGAGCCCGATGCCACGGATGGCGCCCGCCCCCATGGCTTGGAGGTCAGCGCCCGCGGGGATAGCCTCGGGCTCGACGGCGGCCACGTAAGGATGCAACCACGAGGCTTCGTCGATCGGCTCGGCGCCGCCTGTCTGAAACAGGCGCTTATAGGCGTGCAAGGCCTGCAGGAGGCAGTGCAGGTCATCTCTGCCCTCGGGCTCGGCGGCCCCTGCGGGTGCGAAAGACCTCAGCCACGACGCCGCGCTCTGGAAGGCAGCTTGCCAGGCGGGTCCCCACCTCACCACTGTGACCTTCTCACCGCCGAGGTTGAGACGCCACGCTAGGGCGGTGGCGGCCCCTGGAGGCAAGGGCTGCTCAACGGCCGCGGAGGCCGTGCGCCGCGCTGCGAAGGCTGCAGCCGCGGCGCTCCCAGCGTCGCCGCTGTGGGAGCCGCTGGGATGCAGCTCGTGCCCTGAATCTCGGCCAGGCGCGGGGCCGCTCGAAGACCCCCTTTCCTCGGCGGCACGCCCTCCGCCCTGCGGGGCCGCAACAGCATCGCTGGAGGAGCGCGTGCCTACCGAAGACTGAGGGGCCTGAGCAGCGGAGTCCGCGCGGGAGCTGCCTGCGTGGGCGTCGCCCGAGCTCGCACCATGGCGGGACGTGGCTGGCCGCTGCGCAGTAGCGGGGCTCGGGCGCCGCTTCGGAGCGACTCGAGGGGAGCGCACCTCGCGACGCCGAGGCGACGTCGCCTGACGCGAAGGCGCGCGAGAGGAGCCGCGCGCGACGGCCCGACTAAGCCCCTGGCCTGCGGTCGACGCGCGGGATCGCGACGCCGCACGCCCACCAGAGTGGTGAGGGGGCGGCGGCGGCGGCGGGGGCACGGGCCGCGGAGTCTCGGAGCCTACACGCGTGCCGCGGCCCCGAGAGCGACTGCGAACCGAGGCGCGAGCGGCGGGCGGAGAGGCCCCCGAGCGGCGAGGGAAGGCCGCCTGCAGGCGGCGGAGGACCTCGGGGTTCAGGCCCGCCACGACGCGCTCGAGGTCCATCGAGGAGTCTGCGAGGGCACTCAGCACGACGTCCTCGAGCTCCGTCGGAGAGTCCTCGTCGCACGCGGGCTCCGCTCTCGAGCGGCTGCGAACGCTCGCGGGCGGGGACCCGTCAGGAGTGCGCGGGCCCTCCGATGCCTCCCCCGCAGGCGGCTCCGACGGCTCCTCGGGCGAGATCGGGCCGTCGACGGGAGGCGACGAGCAGCCCCCCGAGGGAGAGGTGCGGTCGGTCCCGTACGGGTTTGGAGACCGCGTACGGCTGCGGGCAGGGCTGCGGCTCCGCGGTGGGGAGCCCACTCCCGCGGCGGAGCTGGGGCGTGCCGCGCCTGCCCAGCGGCGCGCATTGGCAGTGCGACGCGCCCTGCGGCCAGGCGCCGTGGCGGCCCCCCCCTCAGGGGCGGGGAGCGCCGCCATCGAAGCCCGCCGCTGCCTGGCGGCGCGCCTGGTGCGCGCGGCGCCCGTGCGCGAGGCGGAGTGCGGCGCGTGACCACCGCGGTTGGGCTGGTCCTCGACCGCTTCATCCCGCGGGCCCAGGCGGGCGCGGACCGCGCGCCGCTCACGACGGCTGAAGCTGGACGCAGGGTCGTCGGCGGGCCTTGCCAAGGCGCGCGGGTCCTCAGCCTCCACCTCGGCCAAGGAGCGGCCAGTGGACGACGCGGGTGCGTCCCCAGCACGAGCGGCACGTTCTGCGATGGCGAGGCCCGTCGAGACCTCAGCGTTGTGCAGGACGGCGCGCAAGGTTTTGCGCCAATCCCGACCCAGCTGGACGGGAGCAGTGCGCGGCAAGCCCGCGGCCTCTCGACTGGCGGCCTCGCGCACGCGTCGGAAGTAGGCGCGATCGGCCATCCCTTCCGCGAGCTCGGCACGAGCGACGGCACGCTCTCCTTCGCCGCGTGCAGGAGCCTGCACCGTGCGCCTGGTGGCGTCGGCACGCGCGGTGCGGAGTGCGTCGAGCTCCACGCGGCCGCGCGACACGGCGGAGACGAGGGTGGCATCCGACTCAGCCGCCCGCGTCGCGAGGGCAGACGAAACCCCGCCCCTCGGGAGAGGCGCGCCCGAGGCGGGGAGGGCAGCCCGAGGGGCCAGCTCGGCGCTCGCAAGGGCGACCCGCGAGGAGACCGCCTCTTCGAGCGCCTGAAGGGCCATGGTCGACCCTGGAGCCAGCTTGCCCTTGCGGGCGCCCTTTCCTGCCGCCTTGGCCCGGGCGTAGGCGCGGGCGGCAGGACCGTCGCCGCCCGTGCTAGGAACATCGGGCGGCGCGGCGGCCTGCGAGACGGCCTGGAGCAACACTGACTTGGCGTCACAGAGCTGCTTCCACTTCAGCGCGCGGGCTGCTCGCTCGTCGGCGCCCAGGTGCGCGGGAGTCCTGTCTGGATGGTAGACTAGGGACTGGCGCCTGAAGGCGGCCTCAATTGTGCCGCGCGAGGCCCCGTCCACTACGCCAAGCAGTTGGCGAGAGGCGCTCACCCTGGCCGCTCGCTGGAAGGTGCGGGGGGTAGCTGCTGAGGCCCCCTTTGGCGCTTCCCGCGAGCCGACGCGCGACGAGCCCACCCCGATAGCAGGCGGAGGGGCCGCCGCGGCCTTGGAGCGGAGGGCCAGTGGCGGAGCACGCTTGGCGGCCTGGGGAGCCGATCCTGCGCTGGCGGCGCCAGGGTCGGGGCCGGGCGAGCCGCCCTCCGCGGAGGCAGACGCTTTTGGCGTGGCGTCTGCCGAGGACGCGAGAGGCCGTTCGCTGTCAGCGAAGAGCGCGTTGCGAGGCCCGCGACGCTCTCCGCTGGCGAGAGCAGCTTCACTGCTGCTCTCGGCGGCGCCCGAGGGGTCAGGTGCCTCCCCCTGGGCGCCGTCGCTGGCGGCGTCGGCGGCCATCCCCGCGCCCTCCGAGGGGGGGGGGGCGGCCGCCCAGCGGTGGCTGAGCAGCCCCTCGGGGCCTCGA